TTAAATCTTCCCGCCGTGTCTTTTGAAGTGATGGTATGAAAAACGTGCTTTTGCAATTTGAAATGTCCTATCTCCGTTCAAACAGTGAAACGGCGCCGTCGGCTCTTGTCCCAAAATGAATGTTCTTCCAATTTTAACGGCCGCCAACCAGCCCACACTTACAGTTTGTCCTTTTAAATTATTGCTGTACATGCGTCACCCTGTGTTGACGCTCCAAAGTTCCGCTGCAGCTTTTTCTGCTTTTCGTGCAGTCGCACAGCTGCGCTTTGAAAAGGGCATTTTCCTCTTTCACCACTCACCGTATATTTTTACGGCTCCTCTGTTTTACTTGACACACACATGCTAAATAAATCAGCCATGTTTGACGGTCCGAATCCAAAACTAGCATTACAAGTGTTGTATTCAAGTGGCAGTCAGATGGGAAGAGCCTGTCCTTTCTCATCCTCTGTCTCTCTAGCACTAACTGAATTCCTTCCGTCCTTCACACCTCTTTTTTTTTTTTTTAAATCTACGTCGGCTCCTCCTTTCCTGCTCTGTCTTTTCTGTCCTCATGCTCTCCTACATCCTGTGCTCTCTCTCTGTCTATCTTTCTCTCTCCCTGTCTTGGTCCACCTCTCTCTCTCTCTCTCTCTCTCTCTCTCTCTCTGTCTTTGTGTCTCCATATGTGTAGGCGTCTATGGCGACGTGCAGCGGGTGAAGATCCTCTACAATAAAAAGGACAGCGCTTTAATACAGTTGTCAGATGGTAACCAGGCTCAGCTGGGTGAGTGTTGGTGTTCCGGGCTCTCCATTGTAAGATCGTTATCGGGATTTGACATTCTCAGTCTACGTCGTACCCCCCCACACATAGAAACTGACCTGTTTCTCTGCTTTGTCTGTAGCCATGAGCCACCTGAATGGTCAGAAAGTGTTTGGTAAAGTGATGAGAGTGACACTGTCCAAACATCAAACTGTGGCTCTGCCCAGGGAAGGGCTGGATGACCAGCTTCTAACCAAAGGTGAGCGCGCTCGCGTCACGCAGCGTTCGCTGGCCCCCAGAAGACGTCACGTGTTCTTACTTTCCAGATTTTTCCGGCTCTCCTCTACATCGCTTCAAGAAGCCGGGATCCAAAAACTTTCAGAACATCTTTCCTCCCTCTGCGACGCTTCATCTCTCCAACATCCGGTAGAGCTCCAACAATCCAGCGTTCTTTTCTCTCCTCGCTTTGCCTGGATGTGGTATTGCCGCATGATCGAATGAGAGCCAATCCGAGAGCACGACAAAACCGTGTGAATCGTGACTGGTGGTGTTGTTTTTCGTTGTTGTCGTTTTTACTCATTGTCCATGAGCTAATAGTTGAGAACCACTTTTATGGATGCCCGGTGGGATACGTGCCGCTCATCAAGGTCCACTGCGCTCATCGTTCTACGTCGGCTCCTCCTTTCCTGCTCTGTCTTTTCTGTCCTCATGCTCTCCTACATCCTGTGCTCTCTCTCTGTCTATCTTTCTCTCTCCCTGTCTTGGTCCACCTCTCTCTCTCTCTCTCTCTCTCTCTCTCTCTCTCTGTCTTTGTGTCTCCATATGTGTAGGCGTCTATGGCGACGTGCAGCGGGTGAAGATCCTCTACAATAAAAAGGACAGCGCTTTAATACAGTTGTCAGATGGTAACCAGGCTCAGCTGGGTGAGTGTTGGTGTTCCGGGCTCTCCATTGTAAGATCGTTATCGGGATTTGACATTCTCAGTCTACGTCGTACCCCCCCACACATAGAAACTGACCTGTTTCTCTGCTTTGTCTGTAGCCATGAGCCACCTGAATGGTCAGAAAGTGTTTGGTAAAGTGATGAGAGTGACACTGTCCAAACATCAAACTGTGGCTCTGCCCAGGGAAGGGCTGGATGACCAGCTTCTAACCAAAGGTGAGCGCGCTCGCGTCACGCAGCGTTCGCTGGCCCCCAGAAGACGTCACGTGTTCTTACTTTCCAGATTTTTCCGGCTCTCCTCTACATCGCTTCAAGAAGCCGGGATCCAAAAACTTTCAGAACATCTTTCCTCCCTCTGCGACGCTTCATCTCTCCAACATCCGGTAGAGCTCCAACAATCCAGCGTTCTTTTCTCTCCTCGCTTTGCCTGGATGTGGTATTGCCGCATGATCGAATGAGAGCCAATCCGAGAGCACGACAAAACCGTGTGAATCGTGACTGGTGGTGTTGTTTTTCGTTGTTGTCGTTTTTACTCATTGTCCATGAGCTAATAGTTGAGAACCACTTTTATGGATGCCCGGTGGGATACGTGCCGCTCATCAAGGTCCACTGCGCTCATCGTTTTTGTCAACAATGTCACGATTGAGTGCGGGGGGAGCTCATGTTTTGCCCTTGTGGGCCTTTGCTTAAGCTTACTGTTGGTGTGAGCGGCAGTGTTGCGTTGTCCTGTCTCGAACGCTTTGTCTTTTTCCAGGGACGGTATCGGAGAGGACGACCTGCGTCTCTTGTTCTCCAATAGCGGGGGGTCGGTCAAGGCCTTCAAGTTCTTCCAGTAAGAAGAGAAGCCCTTGAATTTTAATCACTCTGCCATCCCTTGCCTACCATTTCCATGTAGCCTGTGTACCATTTACATCCACAAGAATACAGTTGTAACAACTCTTCCAAGGTACGCCTTCTCGGTAGAAGCGGTTATCGATGAAAGAGGAGAGAATCAAAGTTTCCTTTCACCGGTGTTTCAGACGTCGTTATTTGTCCTGCATAGTATTCCAAAGCCGCAAAAAAAGAATGAGGCCTACTCGCGCGATGTTGGGGGCGGCATGGCTCAATAGTAAAGTGGTCAGGGGGTTCGATTTTAAGCCCGTGTGACCATGTCTGAGCATCCTTGAGCAAGATACAGAACCCCCAGTTAGCGATTAGCAAATAGCAGTTAGCAAATACCGCCCTGTATGTCTCTAAGAGCCACATAACCGAATCTTGTCGATTAAATACAGTGTCAGTGCGCCTCGTTTTGACATCACGTTGTGCTCCTTTCTCCTCCAGGGACCGTAAGATGGCATTGATCCAGATGTCGTCAGTGGAGGAGGCCATCCAGACTCTGATGGATCTTCATAATTATGACATGGGTGGGAATCACCATCTCAAAGTTTCCTTCTCCAAGTCCACCATCTAAACCTGACAGCCGACTTGGAAGTGCTGCACTGAACGAGGAGGTCGCTGTCATTTTTACACTATTGTAAAAACCACGGCGTCAATGCTGAGGGCTGAAGAAGCTTTGCAAGTGGGCGTGCACCTCGCAAACTTTTTTTTTTTTGGTCAGGGTATGTACAATGTTGTAAACAGTCGCAAAGACTTTCGCCAAACATTCCCAAACACTTAATGGTTGCAAACATTTTCTTGTCGCCATCAAATTTGGAATACGTTCAAAAGTTCTTTGCGACAAGAAAAAACGTACGAGACCATTAAAATTGTTGGTCAATGGCTTTGTGACCGTTTGCGACCTTGAAAACCCCAAAACATTCGCTCGGTGCCCACGCACTTGCGAACCTTCGCCACTCAGTGCGCTCCGGACTTGAGGCGTGAGCCAGCATCAGCATCGCGTCTCAACAGTTTGAGCCGGGGCTGCAGTCTGAGTCCAGGCCACGCCTTCTGTCCTTCTCTTTCCGAGTCCCTTAACAGTAAATGGTGTGACTCTGGTCACGTATGTCACATTGAAACTTGAACAGCCTCTCCGGCCCCGCCTGTTTCTTTCGACACGGGTCATGCTCAACATTGAGCCAGGTCACTGTTTGAAACTGAGAATCATTTTTAAAGCAGGCAGGGCTTGCTGTTGTGGTGATTGACCTCAGTCCATTAAATGAGAGAGCCAAAATGGGGATATAATACACGTGAGTTCGATCGCGGGATGAACTTGACAGACCCTGTATAGATAGTCAACTGAAATGTTTTGTTCAAGTCGTTGGGTCAAACTGTTCTGGATGAGGTTTCAACACGTGTTCCTGGTCTTGGTCTCTGGTTTGAGAGGTTCAGATCAACGTACATGTGCCTTTAGTCTGTTTAGATATGACACTTGATTCTTGGCTATTTCAACAGTTCCCCATCTCCATTTATTAAATGCGTGACTTAGTGTTACTTGTTTGCTCTTTTTCCCCAATAATGAAACATTTGAGCTTAGATGATCACAAATTCAACGTTTTTATTTTTATTTTTTTAAAACCAACACTTGAGTTAAATTGTGTCGTGTTTTCAGACCAGAATGTTTATCCTCTCTTTCTTGCCTGTCAATAAACTGCTCTCTGCTCGCTCTTCTTTCTCTTTGCGCCACCTGTCCCTCCGTTGACTGTCCTGTTTAAAACCCATTTTGGAAGACAAGCTATTTGACAGCTGTGTGACAATATAAACATTTATGGGCACCAAAAAAAAAAATCCAATCTAACAGAAGGGGGCTGTCCAAAGAAAAGCAAGTTACTGTAGTGTTCTAGTCATTTTGTTGTATTTTGGATGAAAACAACATTTTGAGATGCACTCGTCATCGGACGCAGTTGCATGCATGTGTCGTTGCGGGTCTTATCCCGCAACCAGACCTGGTCTAGGGCACACTAGGCCACGCTAGTTAGCCAGCCAGACTACTTTCGTTAAGATCTGATGTTACATTTCAAGATAAAAGGCCTTTGCCATCTGACATTTGGACTTTTTTTTACACCCGATTTTAAATTTAAAAATCTGTTTTTGTTATCCCGCACACAGACTAGACCTTGTCTGGTTGCGGGATAACGAAATGTCACCTTTTAACACATTTTTTTGTTAAATCTGGTGAAATTTTGGTCATTGATGTAGAGTTTTCACTGACGTTTTTTTCTGTCTCAACTGCAGAACACTTCTTGGTGCTATTTCGAGACAGTTTTCATTCTCCCTGGGTGAAGTCGTCGTTGCCTGACCGCTAAGAAATGATTTTACATTATTTTAAATCCAAACCACTGACGTGCATGCCAAAGTTGAAAGCTTTTATTTTGAAGGTGGCCAACGCCGCTCGCTTGCGGCCGATTACGGTAAAGCAGTGCCATAACAATCGCTGTGGCGGCTGGTTGGACTTGAACGCAGGCTGTTGTCGAGCCGTTTAGTAGGTACAGTCCAGTATGTCGGGCTTCAAAGTGATGAGAGCAATTCGAGTGAGTCAATTCGGAGAGCCTTCTGTCCTCAAACTATGCGCCGATGTGAAAGTTCCACAGCCTGGAAGCGGACAAGTGAGTCGACGCAGAGTTGACGTCGTGCAACGAACTACAGTTGTTACTCTAGCTAGGGAGTTCACGCACTTTGGAACCATTCCGTGAGGTGCTCTGTGAGTGTACACAAATGCCTTGTACTAATTAGACATTTGGAAAGCTACGAAATACTCTTGTGTGTGTGTTATTCAGTGAAACTTGAGGGTTGTGACTTTTTTCACGCGTCTCTATTTTGGAGCAAGTTAGCAACTTCAAACCGCTATATTGGCTCAATTGTTTAGAGTGGTTTGCAAAATACCTGTGCGGTGCAGCACAAACAGAAAATGCATGCATGGCTAAAATATCAACTAGAAGGAGAGAAATGTTACAATTGACCTCAGTCTGGCATTGGTGTGAAAACCATCATCTTGTGTTAAGATCTGAGCAAGCTTTACTTTTGTGCTTGAATGCGCTTCGGTGCAGGTGTTAATCCGTGTCCATGCATGTGGAGTGAACCCTGTGGAAACCTACATCCGAGCTGGAACCTACGCCCGGAAGCCCCCACTTCCGTACATACCTGGCACCGACGTGGCCGGCGTGGTCGAAAGTATTGGCGACGGCGTCACGGCAGTGAAGGTTGGCGAACGCATCCGCATTACCGCCGAAGTTGACTGCTTATTGTTGACCACATGAAAAATGCATGCTCCTGATCAAAGTAACCATGATTGGAGTCATGTCGGCCATTTTTATACTTCCTTGCATGTTTGCACAGGATTTATTTTATTTTTGTGAGGAGTTTGGTCTTGTTTAAGACGAAAATGGCTGCAGCCGGTGTGTTGCGATTGACTACAGTATATTCTTCTTTATGTCAGAGGTGTCAAACTCATTTTTTTTGTCACGGCCACTTTAGAGTGACGTCCTCCCTAAGCGGGCCGTTACGACAGTGAAACCGGATACATATTTAATCATCTCATTGCATTACTGATACACAACAAATTGATGGATTACTACTTTTGAATCCCTCAAGTCAACTATTTGTTTGTTAAATGAGGTTCAAGGTTTCTTCTTTTTCCAGACAATGGTCTTTTTGGGTTAAGATAAAAAAAAAAAACACTTTTTAATGTTTTCCCGTCTGGTTGCTTTCCAGGCAGGGGATCGTGTTTTTACCACATCCACCCAGTCCGGAGGCTATGCGGAATTTGCCGTTGCCGCAGATGAGAGCGTCTACAAGCTGCCCGATTCTTTAGATTTCAGCCAGGGAGCGGCCATCGGCATCCCATACTTCACTGCCTACAGAGCTCTGGTTCACAAGTAAGACGCAGCGCAAAGACACGCCGGATGCTGCCGGCCTCGATATCTTTGTAAAACTTAATACTCGATGTACTGTGGCAAGTCAAGGCAAGCTTATATGGTTTTGGCTCGGGGTCATCAAACCTTTTAGCCAATGTGGCTATTAACACGAGTATTGAAATCTCGTCGCCATATTTGAGTCCACTCGGCTGCATCACATGTTAATGTGGTGGTGGTGGTGCTGCCTGTTTCGCTGATGTTTTGGGGGCGTTCCTACGAAGGCCGTGACGTAGCGCGCAGAAGGTGAATACCAATCATGTGCTTCACTCACCATCCCATATCAACGAACGCGGAGCGCTCATGCCCGAAACTCGAAATTGTCTCTGTGCCCTGAGAGTGACTGGCACCCAGGGCATATCGCGTCTCTTGCCCAACATTAGCTGCGATAGGCCACGGCTCACATTTGACCCAAATGAGGACAAGCGTTATACTTGGTAGAAAATGAATGGATTTGTACATTCATCCCAAGTGACAAATGAGTTTTTGGGTACGTTGCAGGGCCCATGTAAAGGCTGGAGAGACCGTCCTCGTCCATGGAGCCAGTGGAGGGGTGAGAGCGTTTTTTTCACATGCCTGATCCCCCCCCAACCCCCCACCCAAAAAAAAAGACACAAGATCTTAATTGGTGTTCATAGGTTGGTCTGGCAACGTGTCAGCTCTCCCGCATGCTGGGCCTCAGAGTGATGGGGACTGCCGGGACCCAACAGGGAATGGAGCTTGCGGCCAAGAACGGAGCTCACCTGATGTTTAATCACCGAGAGAAGGACTATATCGGCAAAATTATGGTACCGTCTCTCACACACACACACACACACACACACACACACACACACACACACACAGGCCTCCACTTCCTGTGGACGGAGAGCCTTAATATCTAATAGGAGAGCCTCCTGAGAGCTGTTTCTAATAATATGACTCTGCAGATCACCGAAATCTTTGATAGGGATCCTTGATCGGATCTCATGAGGGTGTGTGCCATTAGTTTTAAGGGTGTGTTCTTTTCTTTCAGGATGCCACAGAAGGCCAAGGAGTAGATGTGATTGTGGAGATGTTGTCGAACATCAACCTGAACAGCGATCTCCAAATGTTGACGTTTGGAGGACGCGTCGCGGTCAGTGGCATCGTTCGTTTCCGTAGCTCACGGAAGAGTCCTCGTCCTCGATTTGCTCCTTTGTATGACTTTTCCTGCCTCTCGCTTCCCTTTCCATGTACCAATATGTTCTCTTGTTCTCCTCTTTAGATTGTGGGCTCCAGAGGCTCCATCGAAATGAACCCCAGAGACACAATGGCCAAAGAGAGCAGCATCATAGGAGTGTCACTCTTCTCTGCCACACTGGTAAACTGTTCGTCGGATTTAATATCAAGACATCAACATCCTTTGGTCACGATGTTAGAATGATGTCAAGATTGGGTCCAACATCGAACAGTCCACTGAGTAGAATTTTGCTCTTCCTCTCGCTCAGGCGGAGAGGAAGGAGTGCGCGGCGCTGCTCTTTGCCGGGATGGAAGCTGGTCGGCTGCGTCCGGTTGTCGGTGAGCAGTATCGACTGGACCAGGCTGCTCAGGCCCACCATGACATCATCCAATCTCGAGGGGCCACCGGGAAGATGGTGCTCACCATGTGATCACCAAACCCAACTGTAGGAAGAAGCACTTTTCATGGCCAAACAAATCAAGACATGTTGTGATATTTACGATGGAATCCAATCGAACTGTGCAATGGGGACAATATGTTAAGATTCTCCCCGACTTTTTCTAGCTGCCATTTCAATGTCATCGCAGGACACTCAAGTCACTCATCTGCAACGCGTACCAACTAAAATATTCAACAGCCTTCTTCTGTCATTGCATTCCTCTTTTCAAATGCATTTTAGTGTCTCAAAATGTGTTTGTTTTTTTCCTTGGGTCAGACACAACCTCCTCTCCTCTCGGGTGACATCCGATGCGACCGAGCGTGCGCCACTGTAGCTTCGGTAACCGAAGCTCCACGTACACACGGACAGCCCACGTTCCGGGAGATGGCCCTCACTCTTCCTGACCGATCGCTCCCCTTTCTTATTGCTTAACGTATGTCCGTGGAACATAATCAGGGGCGATGGCGCTACGCCGTCACATCATCAGGTGAGTTTACGTCCTCCCCGCTGCCCGGCCCGGTGGTTGTGGATCCCTGCTATATGCAGTCACAATGGATGGATGGACGTGTTTTAAATATGGTTCGGCTACCAATGAATGCAAAAGCTCAAATAAATAATCAAATAAGGACATGACTGCGTGTCATTGTTATCACGGCTAAGAAAATAAACAACACCAAGAGTTGGGAGTAATGACTGCACGTGAGTGCAGCACTGACTTTATTGTCAAACACATTTTTAAGAATCTAAAAATAAGAAAATCTTCATGGTTGTTGCCCAGAGTCCTTTCATCTGCCCCAAAATACATAAAATACAAAAAAAAAAAAAAAAGATAAGGTGAGCAAGAAAGACTTGAACACTAAAAACATAACTTGATTGAAAACATTGAAACACAGCCAGCAAAGCAATAGTTAGGGGTTCATAAATAGCCTCTGTGCACAGAGAAGTCGAGATGACAAAAGAGAGCGCGCTCCTTCTCGATATCAACCTCTCCACTTTCTCTCCAGCACGCTCGCTCGCTCACTCATGAACGCACACACACAAGCACGTACGCATTTTGGGTCCAAATCAATTCTGGAAAACAGACAAGACAGACACATGGGGGAGGAGCCGCCATCATATCAAGTTTTGAATTCAGCAAATAAGTAGTTGAAATTTCTTCATATCAAGGACTGAAATACACTTTGTGGTCAACAGATGTGAGAGCGCCATGACAAGAGAACATGGCGGGCTTGTGTGTGCTGTGCTCTTTTTCCTTTGGCTGCAGCGATGGACGATGGGGACAGCATGAACAATTACCTGACAGGATTTTACAAGCGCTCTTCAGAACTTTTTAGAACGGGTAGTCCAGTTCAGATTAAAAAAAAAAAAAAAAAGCAGGTAGATTTATTTTTTATTTGGATGTATTTATTTATGTTTGGGGGTTGATAAGAATTTTATGAGGGCCACGCTGAAAAGAAAAGAAAAAACAAACAGTCTTAAACGAAAGGTGTCAGAATATAAATACTTCATGTTATGAGAATGAAGTTGGAATGTCACAAGGGCAAAATGGTGCATTCATTATCTTGGAAAAAGAACTCTGTATTCTAGTAATATTGTATCAAATTATGACAATGCCATTTTCCTTTTTTTTTTTTTCTTCTTTTTAAGCGTGATCCTTAATACTGCTTTGTCGCAGTTGGCTAGAATGACCCCTTTGCGAGGGCTTCTGAATGACATTATATACACCAACCTTCACTCTTCAGAGCCCAGGCCAAAAACTGAAAAACTTCCTTTGTGTAACACATCCTTTCATTTCGAATCAATATACACTTAAGTAGGAGATAAAATTGGACCGGTCTAACTAATTTATGTGCAGGAGCGGGGGAGGGGGGGGTCTTCCTCTTTTGACCTGTCCTCTCTTCCTCCAGGACACAGTGATGTGGCGCCATTCGTTGAGTTTCTCATATTTTCTGTCAGCTCTTACTGTACACCATTCTGCGTAAACTGACATTTAGTCAGGACTTTTGTCTGTCTTTTTTGGAGGGGAGGGGGGGCTCCGCTGCAAGTCCGCTTGAGTGCCTGGCTCCCGTAGAGGTTTGAACGAGGTCTCACCGTACTGTGGCAAAGGACGTTGGGAGTCACTTTGTTCTGAAATTAACTCAGGTACAAAGTTTTATCTCGCTGGGGACCTCTGGAGGACAGAAAACAAAATTGGGAAAAACACTTAGCAAAGCCTAAGATGTGACATTCCAGAAGCGCAACTCGGAAAAACGCCAAGTGGAAGGCCACCCCAAGTTGTACTCGCCGCAACACCCCAAAATGACGTTGTGGCAATTTCAGGTCTTCAATGAACCTGACATGTTTTTGGAATGTGGGAGGACGACAAAAACGAAATCCACGCAAGCTCTTCCGTGACAATAAATTTGATTCGAAATACTTTCAAAAGAAGCAGCGCCGAATGAATTTCGAGATCATTCCTATCGCATGTTCTAAACAACATACACCGTCTATGAGGGTGTCACCAATGAATCGGTCGATATCGGCTTCGATTCACGATGATTGTAATTAGTTGCAGTTTCGCTGACTAAATGCTCATATATTCTCATGCAACAGTAAATCCCGTTCAGTGTCCGTTTGTCCGCGAGATGGGTGTGTGCCCTGTCTCCAATGCAATAAATATCTGGGGCGGGGGTCGCAAAGTGCGGTCCTCGAGGGTTGTCACTTCATGGCAAAGAAAAACAATGGAGTCCAAGAAATGTAATTTAGGTCCCCTCTACGTGCACATTCATACACGGTCGGCGGTGGAAACGCACCAAAATAATTTAGTCGACTAAGGCGGGGGGATATTGATGCTTTTTTTTTTTTTTTTTAAGTTTACGATCGGTAGTGTCATGTTTCGGTTTGTGACCAACAGGTGGCACTGTGGGGCTTTTCCCTGCAGCTGCACACCTGTTGGTCGTGAGGCAATTATGGCTATAAAAGGATTCCCACCTCACCATTCATGGTCGGGTCATTGTTGCTCTTTGCTGCTGTCATGTTTGTTTGTCTGTCATGTTTAGGTTATGTTTTTGGTCATGTTTTTGTTATTGATAGTTTTGAGCTTCAGTCATGATTTTTGTTTGATACTTTGGACTTTGCTTTGGATTTCGTTTTCTCTGTTTTAATACAAATCTTCAAGTGCACCCTGCTCCTCCCTCCTGCCTGCTTTTTGGGGTCCACCACCACCTCACTACATGACAGGTAGGGCCAATGAATCGATTCTCATAATTTCCCCTCTGCCAAATATTGGAATCGGCATCAGCCTCGTAAAACCCATCTCCGTTGACCTTACTTTGCGGCAACGATCGACGCACGCGCGAAGAAACCGAGGCCCATTTCCCGGGACTTGCGATGTTTCCCGAACACGTACCCGTTGCCGTGGTAATCTCCGCTCCAGTCGAGAGATGGCTGATGGTTGGCCATGTGTCGACTCAGCTGGTGGTAGTCCACCGATGATGACATGACCGCTCCGCTATTCATCAGACCTCCTCCGATCGGCTGATACTCGGGCTGGAGAGAGTAGGCCTGGAAACAAATCGCATCAAAGCGGGGAGTCAACCGGCCGTCAGCGAGCGCCAGACGCCAAGAGTCCGATTGCAAAGGCTGTTCCAGAGTTGACAGAGTATACGCGTCATCGTGGCGGTAGGTGGATTTGTGGGCGGAGAAGAGCAGCCATCAAGTTGAGCAATGACACCGTTTGGAGTGTGTCGCTGACTCCGGGAGTAGGATGACGAGCAGATGAGAGAGGGAGAGGGAGGCGGACGGGAGCCAAGGCCTCTTATGGCACCATGCTCCAAGAGTCAAATCAGCCGGTGCCGTGAAGTGTGTGTGCGTGCGTGCGCGCGCGCGTTTGTCCGTGTGTGTGCATGCGTGTGTGCACGCAGATTGAGACAGCAGGCTGAAAGGGAAGTTAATCGGAGTGTTGTGTGTGAAAGAGGAGGACAGCAGGTGGTTGGGTTCTCCCCCTCTCCTTCTCTACCTCACCTATTCATCTTTTGTTGAGCAAATTCTTCTCCTTCACTCTTTCACAAAGACCCCATCTGCCTCTTTTGTCTCTTTAACCCCCCCACGTAACACACACACACACACACAATTCCCCTCACTCCCCACTCAGAGGAGAAGAAAAAGTTTGGGCCTCTACTAACACACACACACACACATTTATATGTACTGTATGTATATATAAATCTTCAAATGGGAAAGGGAAGCGAGATGCAGTCAATTGAGAAATACATTTCAGTAAATCATATTTGCTCATAAAGCTGAAATAAAGTCTTGACTTTTACAGCGCGAAACAAACGTCATGCAAGAAAACATTTATGGATGCATTGAAGTGAATCGTGTGTCTGCAAACATCATCATTCAAACTTTTTGGGCAACACGTGCAGAGTCGATTGTGCTTTAAGCAGAATGCAGACTGATACACGATTGAATGCAAGCAGATTGCAAGCTGACTGTGCTGTTCTCTTGAAAAGGATTGGAGGATGTACCGGAATGTGTGTGTGTGTGTGTGTGTGTTGGGGGGGGGGTCTGTGGTCCATACTGTGTACGGTTGATGGCCCCAGTTTTTGGGTCATTATGTGATGGAATGGTTTCAATCTACGAGGCAACCTTGCGACGTGAATAGAAAAAAAAGAATCTATTGTGAGTTTTCTCATATTTTCAGGATATGAGAAATATATGCGTGCAGATACATTTTGATGACAATCGGTCATGAAGTTCGGACGGCGGCATTTTGTCCTCAATATATATTGAGCAATTGACTGCTGGAAAATGAATTTGGACCGGAGCGTTCCGTTCAAGCCGTCGAAACGGAGCTTGTCGGGACTCATCGTACAGTTGACAAAGAAAGCATGCAGGGGCATCGTTAGTGAGCTCTGATTATTGGCGGACCAGCTGAGGCAGCCGAGGTGTTGTCAAGCCCCTGTTCAAAAAAAAAAAAAAAAAAACGACTTTCAAAGGTGTTGATCGGCAGCGACTGACCTGCGTGATGGCCGGAGAGTGCGCCATTCCCAGCGAGTGCGCGCCGAGCTGATGATGCTGCCGATGCGGACTGTGCAGCCCCCCCAGGTGAGCCTGACCGTGGAGCGGGGGGCTGACCCGGTGGGGCGGGGTGGAGGCTTGCACCACGCCGCCGAGGGACAGCGCCCCCTGGTGAGGCAAACCGGGTCGCGGCACGGTTCCTCCGGAGGACAGGGCGTGAAGCTGGGCGTGGATCTGAGGGTGAGGCGGGGCCAGGTGAGGGTGTCCCAGACCGGGGCTCGGGGGGTGGTGGCTGAGGTTGGACGGGTGAGGGTACGGCATGTAAATGCCCGGGTGCTGCTGGGGATGAAGCGGGTGGGCGAGCGAGCCGGAGGAAGGCTGCTGGCCCGCGTAGACGGACGGCTTGGATGTGAACATTGAGGCGGAGGAGGAAGAGGAAGGTGACGAGGTAGAGTGCGGCGGCTTCATCTCACACGGATCGTTGTAACTCTGAACAACCAAAGAGACGATCGGTTCACTGTCATGTCCGGAAGGCATCGCAATGTGCGTGAACGTGTGCGTGCGTTCTCGTGTGATACCTGAGAGACCAGACTGGCCCTGTAGGCAGCCAATTGTTTCAGATACTCTTTCTTTGCCGTCTCTGTCTTCTTCTTATATACCTTCAGGCACAAACAGAACATTTCATTTTTGACACCACTTGAGCAATGCTTCCACTCAAATCGCTTCACGGATGGAATTGAATTAATAAGCGTGCCGCGTCAAACATTGGACAGTGACAAAAATATCAGTCGGCGGTGCTCAGGAATATTCTCTCTAGACTGTAATTGTGAATCGCGGGCTCCACGCTGGTCCAATACTGTACTGATGACTTGTCGGGGTTGCGTTCCCTCGAATTCAGCAATCATATATGCTGGAAGGCTGATCAACGCGGTCGGCTAATTTCATAAACACGCGAAACTACAAAAATCAGGATGCGGCCGTTTTTCCGCCAAGCACTGCCACCAAATTGTCAGAGGCATGCCAGCTCCGCCCACTGGAACGCCCGGCGAGGCGCAACGCGGTCCCAAACGCGGTACAGTAGACTCGGCCCGGCGTGAAAATGAAGGGGGCCGGGCTATGAAAATGGGGCCCTCTTAGACTCGAAAACTTTTTCGAACGGTGTCGTTGGCTTCGCAAAGAAATGTGACCGGAAGCAAAAATGATTCACATTCATATTTTCAAAATACTACCATACGTTTTCGTTCGGGCAGCGGGAGAACCAAAACCAGCAAATACCTGCTTTTGTTCCTCTCCCAGGCCGTCCCACATGGAGGCCACAATCTTTGACACCTCCCCAAAGGTGGCGTTGGGATTCTGGGCCTTAATGTTGGCTTGCGTGTCGCGAAAGAACAACGCGTAGGCAGAGACCGGCTTGACCGGCTCATTGGGGTCCTTTCGTTTCTTCTTCTTTGGCGTCTTGGCTTTCTTGGAGATGTCAAACGGCGCCGGGCGTTTCTCACCTCCGTTGCCCTGCCGAAACGAAGGAAGGCGATGATATGAGCGAAGGAAGCACCCGAGCAACACGAGCCATGAGGTAAAATGCTCGACACCAGTTCTGGCTGAATGTTGTTGTTTTACACGCACCCAAAAAAAGTTCGCTCTTGACTGAGTGGATATGATGTTTTTATTCTGTGCTAGAGAAATGTTGCGTGTGGTTACTTGAGTGACCAACATTATTGTTGAGATTTGGATGTCACAAAACAGCCACCCATCCATTTTCCACGTCAAAACCAGTTCTGGCTGAATGTTGTTGTTTTAACGCACCCAAAAAAAGTTCGCTCTTGACTGGGTGGATATGAAGTTTTTATTCTGTGCTAGAGAAATGTTGCGTGTGGTTACTTGAGTGACCAACATTATTGTTGAGATTTGGATGTCACAAAACAGCCACCCATCCATTTTCCACACTGCTCATTCGGTTCGGGTTTGAGGAGAGAGACTTGAGCGTGTTTCAAAAAGTTGACACATTTTCGAGCGGCCCTTTCATCCTTCCATTTTTCTGGTTTGCGGCCCTCAAAGGAAAACGTTCGGAGACCCCTGCATTCGGTGACCACAGCAAGCAAACGGCGTCGATGCCGCACTGCCTGATGCGTGTCATTCTGTCGGGACAGCGGTCCTCTAAGCCAGGGGGGCGTCATACGCATTTTTGTCGCGTGCCACGTTGTAGTTACGGTTTTCCCCTCGGTGGGCCCTTATGACTGTGATATTTTTTTTGGAACCATCTCAATGCTTCATCACCTCCGCATATTACGTCAGGGGTGTCAAACTCGTTTTTGTCGTGGGCCGCATTTTCGTTACCGTTTCCCCTGGAGGGCCGTTATGACTGAAACCTTATTAAAAAGTCAATAATAACGGTTTATTCAACTATTGTTTAAGTTACTGTGATGATGGGTTTGGTAACAAGAAAATGCTTACAATATGTCGCTTATTTATTACATATTAGAATTTTACATTTTGGTAGAGATTTTTCAGCAAGCATCATGGAAGTTGATGTTTGATTTGCTTTCGCGGGCCACCTAAAATGATGTGGCGGGTCAGATCTGGCCCCCGGGCCTTGAGTTTGACACCTGTGTATTACATGCACAGCGGACAACAAATGGAGGCAAGACTAGTTTTGAAATCAGAAGTCAAGAATGGTGGCTTGTTCACACGTTGTTTATGTTCATGTCAGAAGGGGTTCTTGCGATACCTGCGAGTTGTTTTGGATTCCTTGGTAACAAGAAAACGCTTACAATATGTCGCTTATTTATTACACATGAGAATTTTACATTTTGGTCGAGATTTTAGCAAACATCATGGAAGTTGATGTTTGATTTGGTTGTTCACACATTGTTTATGTTAATGTCAGAAAGGGTTCTTGCGATACCTGCGAGTTGTTTTGGATTCCATATGACCACGATTAGAAATTTGGGTTCAGACTGTAGCAAGCATCATGGAAGTTGACCTTCTTGATTGGCTTTTGCGGTCCAAATAAAATGATGCGGCGGACCAGATCCGGCCCCCGGGGCCTTGCCTTTGACACCCGCGCTCTATGCTGTGCTTCATTATTTTGTCTTTGTACTTCCTGCACTGTCAAATTTTTAACTCCAAGGTGCTGGAAGAATGTGTTCATCTCCTCCCAAATTTGTCATTAAAATGTGAGCAAATAATACTGGCGGGCAATTCGGCGTGTCACACACCATCCGTAACTAGAAGTCAGCAGCCGACTTTTCAAGGTGTGGGAGTGAATTTGGAAGAAAAAAAAAAAAAGTCATTTTCCACCTTGCCTTAAGCCAACGTTACCTTCTCATTTTTTTCCATCGCGCCCAGGGAGAACAGAGAAAAAAAGCGGGTAAATATTTTTCCACACAACTGTAATTGTTTCATTTCCTCAGAATATCAGCAAGAACATGTCGTTTTTCAGTATGAGTCACCCAAAAGGGAGGGAGGGAGGGAGCTGATTTACATTGACTTCATGTGCAGGGGGAATGAGGGTCTTATCTCACGCGCGCACGTCTGCCTGCGCACGCCCACACACATCTGCATTCAAGGAGCCTATAGTGTGAGTGTATGTGTGTGTTTACCCTAAATCCATCATCGTTGTCATCCTCATGCGTCGAGCTGGACGGAGACGGCGTGGCCGATTTACTTGCAGGTGGAGATGGGGAATTGTGGGTGACGGACTTGGCGGCGAGTCCCAGCTGGGATTGGTTGATAGTGGACAACTGGCCGGGTTGGTTGATGGCCGCTGGGTTTTTGGGTCCGAGTGCTGCTTCAATGGGCTGTTGGCTGCCAGTAAACCGAGAATCAGAGTTTACCATTTGTTGCATCTGCGTGAACAAGTGACAAAGGATGTTAATTGGAGAACATTGGGAGTTTCCGCTTTGTGGTGTTTTGACATCAACTACCAAAACGTCTCCTTCAACTGTCTCAAGTACTTTTTTTTTCCTTTTTTAACCAATTCCAAATGTCATTCAAAGAGCACAAAATCACAAGCGCAACTTGTGATTCATTATAAAGCTTCAAAATTGCAGTGTGTCGTTATTTCGTGACATTTCGTGCCTGTTTCTCAGGAAACCAAAAGTTACGCGAGCCAACGTCCGCTGCCGTCAGAGATGTTCGTGGATGTCGGTCGATGCCGAGGTTGACACTTTCCTCTCGGTACGAATCACCTAATAGCGGATGCGGTCTGGTGTGCCGGCCCCTCTTGAGAACACATTACCAGAACTTGATTACCGGCTGCGGTCTCCGAAGACATATGTGGTCTGTCAGCGCTCGAACAACCCAGAGAGGCGTCACAATGATGCATCGGCGAGCCAAAATGTGGAAAATATCTAAGCCGTGGTTTGGTGGCATTTAGTGGCTTCAAACATTGCCTCGAGACACGCTCATTTTATTCCATGGTGAAAAGGATTCTTGTTTGCTGTCAGACGCACACCAAATTCTCTAAAATACGATACGTATCATATTTTGTGTACCACTAAATGATTTTTGAGTGGCGATCATTTTTAAAATTTTGAGATTCAGGGGCACAAAACTGTACAGTGAATGGAAAAATAGTCCATTTATTCTCAATTTTGCTCTTCGGCCGCTCTCGATCATGTGCGTCTAAATAAGAAGCAACAAAGCGCAGACTTGTTTGTTTTGGGTTCATGAGGAAGCATTCGGTGGTTTCATCTTAATGGCCATATTCGTACAAGAACCCTTTTTTTTTTGTTTCTGTTACTATATGTGGGATCTGTGTTTTTTTTCTTTAAAAAAAAAAAAATATATATATATATATATATATATATATATGCGCTGTTGTTTCATTTTTGTCCCGCGACCAATTAGGTGTATAGTCTACTTAAAAAAATAAATCTGGATCCAGATGATTTCATTTCATGATGCAACCACTTAACAAAATAAAACTGAGTTAACTCAAGAAAAAAAAAAAAATCAGTGGAACAAAATGCCCTTGAGCTTTTCCTACCGGTAATTTGCAGGTCAGCACCTTACATCGGCGCTCTGCTGCCATAGTTTACTGTATGTGAGTTTAAATGTGAGGTCATTTGGTGATGCGCTTTGTACTTCACACCACAATTTTCTCCAAATCATTATAAATATGCCAAAATCTCCCAAAAGAGCGGCTGCAATCTCAATATGAACGAGCTTGCCTTAGCTCTATAAGAAACACACACACACACACACAGACGATGACTTGAATCTCTATAGCGCTCTCTCCACCCCGATGAGGCTAAGCCAGGCATAGTTGCCAGGCAACCATAAATCATGGACCGGCAGTAAATGTATAGTAGCACGGGGATGTAAAGGGGAATAAATAAATAAGAGAAAGACGGAAAAAAGGAAAGCACTGAGATCAACAGTCATGGAAAAAAAGTTTCAGGCCAACCAAACAGCAGATGAGAGATTGATGGCACCGAATAGCAAATCAAAAATCAAAGAAAGAAGAGAAAAGGTGATCTCATGACCTAAATCAAGATTAAGATGAATGAGAAACAACTGAGGAGTTCAACATTTAGATCCTCACTTTGCTGAAGTCTCCTAAGAATTTTGGAGTTATTAAAGTCTCAGGTGAACATTATTGCACTACAATATAAAGCTGCGATATCATGTCGATTCTGCCCATATCATCTACCGGTTCTTCTATTTCATTTGTAGGTACTGAGATAGCAAGCAGAGACGGAAAGTCGAAAAGTGAGAAAGTTTCCTTTTTGCTAAGCTGGTTGAAATGGATTGACAGAGCGGCGCGCACGCATGCCTCGCTCAGCGCCCAAAACGCCCCAGTTGCCGTGAGAGCTAAACACACACGGTCAAAATCAGCCATTTCACATGAGTCTAAAATGCATATTGTCCAAATTCAAAATCAACTTTTCCTCCTATGAGGTCATGTGGCACCCTCCAAATATTTTCTTTGGTCTCATCGCTTCTCTGACAGAACTCATGAGCAGCAACATTCATCGCAGACTTAAATGAGTTTGTTTCGGGTTTCGTGGCGAATAAATCAATCCTGATAAAAATAACAATAGTCAGAATAATAACAGCAAGAATGAGCTCCTAGATTGACAAAATGGCTTCCACAATCCCATCAAACAAATACAAAAGAGCAACATTGAGAGTGATGATGGCTACCGCAGCTCGCTGAAAGGGGATTAGGAGGCAGCAAGCAATCAAAGAATAAAAGTGCTACACTGTCCTTTAAAATGATGCATCCATCCATCAATCCATTTTCTCGACTGCTTGTCCATTTCAGGGTCGCCGAAGTTTTGAAACATATTGCGAGTCATGTTTTGGAGGGGGGACGGCGCTCAAGCCTAGTCAATTCCCATTGATTTCCATCGCCCTTTGGATCGCAAACCGTCTCAAAGGGCTTCACGTGCCCACAGTTGACAAATATTAAAAACCGGAACCCCCAAGAGGGCGAGGAACAACTCCAAAAACCCCATCAGGGGAAAAAAAAGAAAAACCTTGAGAAGGGGCCGCGGATGGGAGAATCCCCCTCCCAGCACGAGCGGGCCGCAATGGATGCCCAGCGGACGACCAGTTAGCACACGGGCCTCATGGTGCAGAGGTGCAGGGTTCTGGCCTTCCTGAGTGGAGTTTGCATGTTCTCACCCCGGGCCTGGGGTGGGTTTTCTCCGGGTACTCCGGTTTCCTCCCACGTTCCAAAGCATGCATGGCAGGCTCACGGAACACTCGAAATTGTCCCGAAGGGTGATTGTGAGCGCGGACGGTTGTTGGTCTATGTGTGCCCTGCGATGGGCGGGCAACCGGTTCAGGGTGTGCCCCGCCTGCTGCCGGCTGGGATAGGGGCTTTCAGAAATGGATGGCTTGAAACACAAAGGTGTTTTTTAAATTGTGAATTATTTGGCGCCACTCACCACAGAGAGCGTACTGGTCATGGCTGCCCCGTCTGGGCTGAACGTCCCCCCATCTTGGTTCAAGACGGGCGCCCCATCCTGACCGGCGGGCATCGCGGTCAGATTCATGCCCTGCAGCCGGTAGGGGTGGTGCGGAGCTGAACCGCTGTCGCCATCCAGCGGTGGGTAGGCTCCGCCGGAGGAATCGTGGGGCGGATGAGGGGGCAACATGTGCTCTGGCGCCGTAGGGGGAGTGATGGGCGGAATGTTGAAGTCTTCATCACTCAAACCGGCCACTGAGTAGGACTGAAGACAAGAGATTTGAGAGACCGTGAAAATCTGTCATCTTCATCCTATAAATACTATTCCATCCGCTCTCTAATGGTCGAACAATCTACATTGCGACATTGCAACCACCTTGGTCCTCAAGCATAACACGGCATGGAAGTGAGCGCGACGCAAAGCACAAACATCCTTTTGAGTGACATCAATACATACAATACATCATTTTGGCATGAGCAGCGTCACTTTCAAACCTTACAAAACGGAGTTCAATTCCGACAATGTCTCCATTGAAAGTTGAGGGGCCGGGTGAAGGACCGCCTATTCATGAACCTCTGCCATATGCTGACATCGGTCAGGAAATCAAACCGCGACCCTTCGGTCGCAGGAATTCGGACGTGACGATTCAGGCAAGCACAAAGCCGCTGAGTGGCGTCAGCTGTTTGTTGGGCATGCGGGGAAAGCGCATCAACATGAAACAACAGGGCTGCCCATAGGGCTGTTTTGTTTAAAATGATCAATTTTAGAAAAAACCTGCAAAATATTGGAAGCCGCAAAACTTGAAGTGGCGAGGGATCACCGCACGCATTGCGATTGTAACAGTGTGTTCAACCCTGAATCTTGGTGCTTTTGTTTTTGTCTCCCTTCCTTTCTGCCAGTAATTAGCACCCGCGTTTTAGCCACCCTTGAATCAAAGTCAAGCAAACAATCACCCTCATTTTCTATGTAGAAAGCCAGTTCCTCACGAGGGAATAGCTTGTCGCTAAAAAGAAAATGCATTTGAGTTGTGACATGCCGAAGGAGGAGGGCTCTCCGTGCTTAACTATTCCGAGAGTGACGACGCGAGTGAAATGGAGGGTGAGGGAATGGTGCGAGAGAAGAGTGAGAGACACGAGGGCTCAAAGAAAGAGGCGGCGTTGCAGAAGCCCTCTCATACTAATCTGACAGACGAGATCTTTTATAGAGAGTGACAGCTTTTCTGCTTGGCTAGCCACACCGGTCTCTCCCTCTCGGACTCTTTTGCTCCTCACCGCTCAGCATCCTTCTCCTTCCGGCCCTCGTTGGCTCTCTTGCTCTTCTAATCTCATCCGTGATTTCTCTTTCATCTCTCTCACGCTTTGGCCGAGCCAAAATGCGACGCCGACTGCTGAGTTGCATGACTTGCGAGTTGTCGGCCGAATGATGGATATGCTTACTGTGTTAGAAACGGTCACGGCGGGGAGATGAGATTTCTCAGTTGACGATGAAAGCCGAGAGCCACACACGCACGCACAAAAAAAACAAAACAAAAAAAAAAACCACAAATGTAAACGATATGTGGAGAGCAGAACCCCATATGGGGCAACCCGCATTTGGAGACCGGAGTGCTGCTGCTCCTCAAGGAGGCAGTCTCACCTCATCACAAGGAAGTTGAACGCTGTGACTTTTCTCCCAGCCAATCAGTGCACTAAAATCCTTCCCGCGTGCAACCTCGAATGTCAAACACAATGGGGAGGCTCTGTTCTGGGAGGCTTGTTGATTGCCGATTGTTTAATGATTAAAAAAAAAAAAAAAACACAAGGAATATTTTTATTAACATTCCGAAAGTAGACTTTGTAGTCTTTTCAAAACTCACACTTTTTGTCATATCTGCTAAGACTGTCTCTATGACCTGACGGTAGAATATCAGCAAAATGCTCTTTTGAAAAATCGTCCCTCTCTGGCCTCATGCCTCAAATTTCATTTTTAATTATTATTTCTTCAACTTGTCACTCCGCGACTACTCAGTCGTTTCATACGCAAACTTTCACTCGCACTCAGTCCGGGCTGTGGCACACCTTCCCGGGGCGCTGATAGATTGCTTGGGGGCTCTTTATTATTATTGCAGTGCAGTGTACACTGGTACAAAAAAAAAAAAAAAAGAATTAGGACCATTTGGCCCCCGTGGGGTGAACACAGCTTTTACTTTGGCAGTTCAGTGTCAAGCATCACCGAGAGCGGCGACAGGTCGAGTTCTCGGTGATGGCCACGGTTTTGACGCTCACGTAGGACTCATTCCTAAATTTGTCGGCCGGGTCACTCATCCGTTCAGCTATCTGGGTCCAAATGAACGCTTTTCACTCTCCTTCCGACTTTCCACGTCAGTTCTGAGCTGGAAAGCCTGGTGACGCGGGTCAGCCGGTCCGTCCAAAGCAACAAATCTGACCCTAATGGAGTTTTAAAAACTATCGGAGCTGAAGGGAGCTGCATAAATTACACGTTTTGTCCGTCTGTCGCGTTTGTTCCATCACTTCTTCATGTTGTGCATAAATTAGCGCCCCTTGCGTCTCTCCTCTCGCATTCATTCGGACACAAAAGCCTGCGCCGGGAGCTTCTCCAAAGACTAATGTAGTCAGGATTAAGTCTCTTTTTGTTGATGTCGTGTCCCCATTTCTTGGCACTTTTCGCCCAACCGCATGTCTTCAACAATTTCCAAATGCCGCGTTTCCTCTCTTTTGGCCACCTGCACCCAACTGCCTTCTTCGCACCGTTTTAGACGCGATCATGCGAATGTTGACGTTTAAAAGAGTGAAATAAAAGTTGTCCATCTGATTTTGTCACCGTGTGTCGTCCTCGAGGGCGTACGCTTGATGCAAAGTGATGGTAAAGGCTGATTAGCCCCAGGGTGGACCTCAAAGTATCCTTTGAAGCTCAACCAAATTGTTTGCGAACAGAGGCGCGTTTGATCGGAGCCTGATTGACATTTCTTTCATTCTATTGTCGACAGCGTTCTCTGCTGTCAAATCAGTTGTTTGAGGTAAACTAGGGGCTACAAACAGGAAACTCGTGAGAGCTTGCAGGAGGGAAGAAACAAAAAAAGCGCTGAGGGATGATTTGCAAGCGTGTTGCAAAAACTGGGGAGGGGCCAAATAACAAATCAATCAATTGATACGCATGGAAAGTGCAAAGGAGAAACCAAGCGTTGGCTCGCAAAAAACGCTTGACATGTTCTGGACTGCCGGACGTAAAACAAAACAAACAAAGGCGACGTTTCTGCCGAGTGGTGTAGTTCATTTCAACTCTCCGTGGTCCATTTAGGAAGCGCAAACCCCGACGTGACTTGTGTTTCGATCGTTGCGTGCGCTAGCGATGTTCAGGCTGTGACATCAAGTCAACAGATAAGCCGCAACATGTCAACAAACAAGCGACAACAAGAGCGGAGGGCAGTCGGCATGCTGCCTTTCTTTCTTGGCATTATTCTCTGCAAGGTCCCATTCTAGAAATCATTCCTGTTGTGATTTTCAGTGGCACGCGAGTTTCACCAACAGAACACGCAAACTCCACACAGGAAGGCCGGAGCCGGGATCCAACCCCGCACCTTTGCACCACGAGGCCCACGTGCTAACCGCTCAAACGAAACATGAAACCCACCCTCAAATAACCACATGAGCGAAGCGTGGTCCCGAAAAACAAATCCAATTCCGAAGTCAAGACTCCGCCGTACGCAGCTATGACAAACACGCCACACCTCCAAGCACAGTCATTTCCAACGTCCATATCAACTCCAACGTTGTGCTTGTGTCGAGTGCTTTATGATGACAGAGACTTTCTTTCTTCAACTACTTTAGGTGCTATTGAGCTCATTTCAAAGTGTTCTGTCCACTCAATGGATTTGCATGTCAATTTGCTACGCGTTTCTGATGTCAAAATGGAAGGATTCAAACATAAGCTTTAACAACTCCTTATACGGCGACAATCACAAGTTATTATCAAATATATTATGATACCGGTTTGTGAGTCTGTGTGTGTGTGTGTGTGTGTGTGTGTGTGTGTGTGTGTGTGTGTGTGTGTGTGTGTGTGTGTGTGTGTGTGTGTTTAGGGGTGCACTCACCCAAGGCAGACGGTGTGTGTCGGCAATGTGCGCGTCCCTCCGCCAGTGCTGCGAGGAAGGGTTGGAAGGCGTCGCCTTGCTCAGGGGCTGAGGGGGCTGCGGCGCACGAAACTGTTGGAAGCACAAAGACAAGAAAAAGAAAAAAAGGGGGATTCAGATGAGGCCTGACGAAGGCCAAAGGTCAAACAAAAACACCAAGAAGTAGAGATAGATAGATATATATATTTTCGAGGAGCGACTCTGTTGTCATCACCCAGCCGCAGCTGGAAGAGCTGATTTTGCAGCTTATGGCGGCCTTTGAGTCAAGTGGAACCCCGGGCCGGCTCTCATAAAACTCATTCAGAGCTCGCAGCTGCTTATTTGGGCAAACGACTCAAGAAATAATAAATGTACAAAACATTGGAAAGTGACTTAAAAAAAAATGTTTTGCACATTGAAGAATGCACTCTCAGGTGCAGCGATGCTTTCCTACCTCAGACTGGATTGCGGATGTATGCGCATGTAATACCGCAGTCCTGTTTTTGTTGTCATTCATTCAACGACAACAACAAAAATGAGCAAACGAGTACATTGAAAAAAAAATGCAAGCAATACATTTTCCCTCATGTTTTTGAGATGGTAGGGTGAGGGCGCCACCTGGGTACGAGTGTGGATAGAATGGGTGGCAAAAACCAGGATGTCGCAGGGCAGGAAAAAAAAAAAAAGTCAACAAGCCATAACATGACGTGTAGCTTTGCTCTTGATGTCTGTGCTCGTCTTTCATTGACGCTTTTGGTTTGCAATCTCCATGATATATCTTTTGACTTTTTCTGTACTCTTTGGTTTGGTAGCTAGACAAATACAAAAGGAGCATGGAATGACTTGAACATGAAAGAAAAACTAACCTGGTCATTTGCGCCATAGTCAAGGCCCGTTTCTTGCATATTCAGGAACATGGCGTCGCCTTCCAACTGGAGAGAAGACGAACGAAAAGCGAGAATGTCACGATTCATGTGAACTGTTTCACTAGCCAAAGGGAAAAGACGTGTTTGTTCCATATACACAAATCTGATGAGATTACGAGAAATGAAGCTGTATGAAATCGCACCCGTCACATTTCAATGCTGCATTTGCTTCCTTATTTGCCCTTTTTTGACCGCATCTATTTGGCATGTTACCGTGGCAGCCTCTGCAGCACACAATATTCATTGTGATGCCTCTTGATCTAATGAAGGGAAAAAAACAAAAAAACAACAACCACCATTCAAATACTGGATGGTTTCCTGCACACCTAATTATTGTTTTGGTTGTCAAACAGACACGTGGGTCCTCGTTTGAACAGGTGCGGAGAAGTAAAACAATCTGATGCGCAGGCTCAGGCGCGCGCACATAAACACGCACGCACGCGCACACAGGTAGACAGGTGTAACTGCCCCCTCCGTTTGCCAGCTGCCTGGTGTTATGCAAATGGGGTGTCGGTTTACAGAGCCAACAGAAAGCCAAAAGAGGATCGTGATAAGGCTCGCACACAAACAAGAAAGGTGACTTGCGTCGGAAAATGACGACCTGCCCAAATAACGACGACTCGAAAGAGCAGAAAAGGAAATGTTGAATTTCTGGAGGTATCCGCTCCATGTGGGTCGCGGTAGAAACAAAGTCAAAGTCCGAGTAAGCAAAGTTAGTGGCTCGAGATCTGCGCCCCCCCTCATCCCCACCTCCCCCCTAAAATTTTGGGAAGCAGGTGTTTTCAGCTGCCGGGTGACTGTTGACAAGGCTGCATTCAAACGTGAACAATCCTCACGGCGACGAGCTCAGATTTCTCAACACTATCAAGTGGTTTTAGAATCGATCATTCTGATTCCACCGATTCGTCGAATCATCAGATAACACAACACAAAATAGACGCAGGTGAACTAACAAATAGTAGTCGTAATTGTGGGGGAAAGAATGTCAAATGGACCAAATTGTTAACGTTGTCTGACACGGCTTGAAAGTCCATCAAGTGCCAGGGAAGGGCAAAGAGGAGCATTTGATCCTCAGGTTTGAATTCACAGATCCAATCGGAATGAATTTCTCGCTCTTACTTTTCTTTTGCGACTGAAACGTGACAGTGGAAAGGATGGAGGTGTGTGTGTGTGTGTGTGTGTCTGTGTGTGTCTCTCTCTCTCTCTCTCTGCCTTCATGCCAACCTCTCCTCATCCGTGTGCGCGCGTGTGTGGGAAAGCAAAGGTTTGAATAACAAGCAGCCAGTTAAGTGGGTCAGGGTCGGAGTGAAGGGGGGACGAAAGGGGGAGAAAGGTGGAGAGAGACTATTAGGATGACGGAGAAGGACAATGGAAAACGGAGAAGCTTTCGACAGCCGAAACATACACTTGCTAAAGGCTTGGATGGAGAGAGCGGCGAAAAACACCGGCTTGGAGTCAAGCAGCAAAATTCCAAAAGAAACCAGCTCAATTCTTTTTATTCCCTTTCGCTTGAAACCACAAACCCGGTTCGGTTTTAACCTTGTCTTTCCAAACAGATGTCACCCTACAGCGAAGAGTGTCCCCCCCAGTCAAGCCTAATTGTTTGTTTTTGCCGCTGCAAAGCAGCGTCCGGGAATCAAAGCCGCATCTTACGTGGACGGACGTGAAAATAGCCCGAGAGCACCGTTTAACCCTCAAGGGTTTGTCTGAATTTATTGGGCCGGTCTGGATTGCGTACATGTCGGTTTACTCCAAAGTGCATTAAGAGAACATAAATCAACTTAGCATAGGCAGAGATGGCCGACTGCCTGTGTGTGTGTGAGAGAGAGTGAGAGAGAGAGTCGCACAGCTGTGATAGGTCAGCTCTCCATTTTATGTTTATCAGTCTTGTCACCATGGCAACAATATAAACACCTTTTTTTTTTTTTTTTTTTTGCTCAACCCGATTCTCCGTTACTGTGAGTGGAGTGTGTGCAATTTCGATGTGCTCTTAGGATGTCACTTGAGTGTTTATCCTTTAATGTGTGCGGATGGAAAACGGACAAATCCTGAAACAGCTGTTTGGTCACGGCCCTTACACGGCCGTTGCGATTATTTCTCAGATAAATTCAGCCGGGGGGGGGGGGATCAGATAAATGAGAATGTTTGTAAGGCTTATGAGCTTGTAAGAACACATCAGCCTTGCTTTTGATGTTTTTCTGACAGTCTTTCAAGAGAGTTCACCTTTCTTTGATAGGTTGGATTTGCAACAAACACAGATGCAACTTTTTTTTTTGGGGTGGGGGGCTTGCTGGTACCCACTTGGGCCCTGTTTTCAGGACTGTGTAACAGTATTGCTTGGAGAAGGTGCTTTCAGGGCTTGTCGCGTGTAATGAAAATTCCCACGTGAAAAGGTGTTCGATTAACTCCTTTGCATGCACGAATTGCCAGTCCGTCACAACGATCTTTCGATTGTTCCGATTGTTTCCCGGGTGTTGAGAGATCAGTTGCCAAACGTCATGACACGGGGAAAAATGAGATTTGCCGGAGGAGTTTCCCAAGAAATGATGCAAATCTTTTGCCCTTCGTGCCGCACGCGCGTGCCGTCCGCACACTCGCCCTCAACAATTCACCGCTGATTGCGTTGCATGATTTGATTGCAATGTGTTTGTTTTGGAAATGAAATTGAGATAATTAGTCTGTTCTGGCAGCGCTGCGTCTCCCCCCCATCTGTTGCCTTTGGCATAGCGCCCCCCCCCCCCCCTTCACCGCTGCGTCTCCGCATCCGCGTGCTTCAGCTAAGTCGGGCCTTTTTTTCGCCGCGCCGACGAACAGGCGACGGGGCTCGGTGTCACGCCGTCATCAATGCGCATTTGTAGTGTGGGCGGAGGGGGTCGGGGAGGGGTTAATGCTTCCGAGCAAAAAATCTCCGCCAACGAGGACAGACGACTTTTAAGTTAGATTGCACTCTGAGGGTTTGTGATCAAGACCAAAATAATACGTGGGCTTGGCATTGAGGGGAAGGTGCCCCTCTCAACAGCTGCGACCGAACATTTCCTCCAATCGGGCTCCATTCTAATAAACGGCATGTGCAAATGCTGCGGTCCACTTGAACAGATGAGCACTGCGCAAAACTTGCTTTTTACCCTGGTGAAAATAACCGGGAACACGATTGGCGGCTCAACATTGGTAAGACAGCGCTCCGGCGTACCAACTGGCATCTCCAGATTTTTGTGTCGACGCAAGCCTCGATGCACTTGTGTGGCGATTTGTCAGTCTCCCCTGATTTTTGAAATCCATTGCCAAGGTTTCAGTCACCCTATTTCCATTTTCCACCTGATTGACCTTTCACAAGGATTTTACTCATACAGTCGTTGCGTGTTGACGCCGGGCCGCCACGCCGCAAACGACTTCTAAAATGGCCGTGTTTTCATGCATGGAGCTCACGATTTCTTTTTTGCATCGGCTCTCTCATCCACTCATAGCTCACATGAGGTTCACTCGCTTCTCTGCTCATGCCGCCGGTTCGGCGAATGACGAAAATGTGCACCGGCGCGCCCAGCTGACTGCTGGCCACAGAGACAATGGCTCTCGTCCTTTTTTTTTTTAGATCTCAATTTCATGTGTTTATAACCAAGGTAACAGAGGGAGCCAATCTGTTATTGTGGACACTAACTTTCACTCAGTGGGATTTGAAAAGTTTCTCCTGTTCATTCACTGATCAGTCCCAAAGATGTTGCGAAAATGTGAAAAAGGCTCATATTGCAACGTTAGGCAGCAGGAGAAATTGCCGGACACGCTGCCAAAAAGTCGGGGCTTCTTCTTTGGCCGGCGCCTCTCATCATATTTCATGGCGTGAATGAATCGGAAACGCCGCAATCCGGCACACGGGTCAGGCGAGTCTGCTCTTGCCGAAGGCACTTAGTTCCCGACTTTGGCGACATTCATCGGTGATCCCGCACCCAAAATAAAAGAAAGACATTTTTGACACCACCTTTTTCCTCGGAACTCACCGAAAAGTATTCCGATGAAAAGATTTCCTGTGCGCACACACAACGTGATGGTTCAAATGGTTCCCGTACAATTATCATTCACGCAAAGAATTATCGCCTACGTATATATGAAGGAAACCAAAGATTACACTATGCCGGTTTTGCGTCGATGCATATCTCAGGTCGAAGAGCCTCTCGTCATCTCATGCGGAACGCTCGAAGAATGCCGAATATTGCCGAGCCATGTCAGGAAGTCCAAACAATGTCCGGAGAAACGGGACCGCGGTTGCCCTTTCACACATGTAGCACACAGGAAATTGCCTCCATCAGATGTTTTCGCATGTATTGCGACCGCTCTGTTTACTTGATGGAGAAGGAGCAAAAAAAAAGGGAGTCCGAGCCCTGTTCAGTCCGTCGAAATAAATCAAATGCATTGTAGCCGATTCAAAGAGATAGCGACCTTCTTGAAGCAGAAAAAAAAATCTCCGGTGGCATCGCACTGTTGCAGATTCAAATCTATGCCAAAAATGAAACACTTTAAGGTCGAATGACTGCACGCATCGGTTTCAAAACCGTTTTTCCCAATGGGAACGTTAGCGCACGTCAAATGGACAATTTAAAGGAAAATGGAATAGATTTGATATTAATTGCATTTGAAAATTATCCATTTGGTTACTATACTGCCGTCTGTAGAGAGCAGGTGTCAAACCTACGACCCGCGGGCCGAATCCGGCCCATCCATTAAAAAAAAAAAAAGAAAAAGAAAAAAAAGAAAAGATAAGAATGAACTTGCTTTCATTTTCTTTCACATCTGCAATTCCTATATTGTTGGCTAGGGGGCGCTTTGTTTTAGTGAGCCCAGACAACATGAAAACAACGCTGCGGCGGAACTAACAGCAGGCAGTAGCATTGAACGACTGCGTCCGGAATCAACATTTGATTCCAACGCGTGATGCACTTTTTCGGTTGCCCCCCCGCCCGGCACCCTCATCGGCGAAATGTCATGTCTTTGCACACCAAGGAACATGAATAAAACAAAGTTACGCTCAAAGCTCCCACACAAGCACTTGAGTGAGATTTTGTGAAACGGGCTGCCACTCAGGACATGACACCCAACCTTGTTCCGCTTGTGCTTCAGGGGCAAATACTCAGCCAGACGAGGCATTGCTGCGAAAGTTATTCATTTGTTCCGATTGCTTTCCCGGGTGTTGAGAGACCACTTTTATTTGCGTTCCACAACGCTGTGACTAAATGTTTTGCGACATCGTGACAATCACTGCGTGCATAACGCACTTTGATCCATGTCAAACTGAGTAAAAGTGTGGTTGCAATTGCACTTGCTACTTTTAGTTTTTACGTTGTTCATAATCTATTGAGTCAGTGGAAATGCATTTTGGATCAAGATTTTCATAAGTGACTTCTTTTTTGGGGGGCATGAATACAAAGGAGGAAAAAAAAGTGGTCTTATTGTTGGTTCTGTGTCATTTTGCAATTAGTTTGCTGTTACTTCTCTGTCTGTCCGCCTCCATTTTTTGAACTAATCTTGTCAAATGTCATTTTTCGTATTTGGGCCGTCGTTTGGACACCCCTGCTGTATCGGAGGGCAACCTGCTTTTTTTCCCACCCCTCCGAAACGAGAGGTTGAACTGCAGAAGCGGGATGGAAAGTCTGCTCAGTCCACTCCTTAGTTTGACACTGCACATGTGGTCATCTCAATGAGAAGTTGAAGTTTGCGGTGCGTGTGCAGCCCCGGCTTCGGCTTGGCTGTCACGGTTCGTAATCGCGCGCGGGATACCGAGCGGATTCTTGTCATTGTGCTGGCGATTGTCTCCGCTCAAATGGCGATGGAAAATCTGCCTCTGCGCCTTTATGTTGCCACATGTGGAGGACACGCCTCTCTTTTCTTTTTCTTTTTGAATAGCGCCACTTTCTTTTCGGTTTGGTCTCCTCCAATTTGCTTTCTTATTCTTCTGACTTTTCCCCTCTTCCTGTCTCACCGCCTCCGTGCCTGGCTGTGCTTTTCCTGTCTCTCGCCCTCCTCTATATTCTCTCGCTCGCTGCCCCCCCCCCCTACACAGTAATATGATCTCGTCTATCAGACCGACAGAGCCATGAATCAAAAGACACAGGGAGAGAAATATAGTACAAACCTCAGCGGCCCCACCCCCCACTACAACCACACTCATCTGCAACATCCCTACCCCCAACAACCCTCTCTCTCTCTCTCTCTCTCCCTCTCCCTCTCTTTTTCTCCATTCCCTACCCCCAACCACACAGCCCGCTCTCCATCCACAGCCTCGATCTTCCATCTCTATCTTTTCTCAAACAAACACTCGGGGCACGGCGGCATACCTTGGCGCACACAACCAAATGCACGAACGAGAGCAGCAGGTTGCAAGGCTTCAAAGTGTCCATGGCCAACATCCGAGACGTTAACAACAATAATGTGACATTTTCATAGAATGCCCCCGTCTCCAGGTCAGAGGTCGAGAGGGGCCAAAGTAAGGTTGCCGTGTCCCAATCAAGGGCAGCCTCCGGTTTGTCCTTTGCATCGTCTTCGTTCCGCCATGCCTCTCTTGAGGTGCGCACGTGTAAGAGTGCGACCGTACAACGTGAACAGATGCTCCACTTGGCCCCTCTATCTAAAACCTCAGCGGAGGCACCTCGGACGATGCTCGCCTGCTATTTCAGAGCCGAACTAGTCGCGCGTTCATCTTGGAGAGCAGAAGCGAGTCACTTTATTTGCCAAGCAAGAAATAAAACACCGCGGCTGACTTGAGCTTCCTCAATCCCAAAGTGACTTGTGATAAGGGATTACCATAAATTATATCCTGATGAATTTAATACGGGGGCATTACAAGATGATGTTTGTTTTCCTCCTGCAAAGAGGTCGTTTCTCCTCCCTTAAGACAACCACGGTATTTATCATGTAAATGAAGCGCAGACGACAAACAAAGTTGACACGACTTATTTGGATCGTTGCTCGGCTGTATGCAGCTATGGATGGATGGATGGATGGATGGATATCCAGTACAGGCATTTTCTTTTGCAGCCTGGAAAACCTTGACAGGACTCTTCGGTGAAATTACAAAATCGGAACTCGGCCAGCCACAGGTTCCTAACCCTGATCCTTTATCTTGCCCAGGAGGGAGGAAGAGCTACTCAGACTACAAAGTTAACCAAGTATCAAGAAATTCCCCCGAAAATGATATGCTCAAAAATCACATTCATTGCCTTCAAATGACATGGGTGAGAAAACAACCAACCAACAAAATCACAGTTTGACATCAATAGACCGCTGTAGCAGTCGGCCATAATTAACTTCAGGTTAATAAAGCAATTAATTTACCATTTAATTGGCAGGGCAAGGCAGATGAATACCCTTACAGTTAATTAAAGTGTGTGTGGGGGGGGGGGCAACACAAAGGTGACTCTCCTCTGCCAGACAATGAGCAACACGAGAAGGTTGCTGCTCTGTGTCCCCTACCTTGGTCCCGAAGGCCGGCTCCGGGTAGGAGAGCTGCCCGAGTCGGCCGTGCTCCGACGCGGTCAGGGGTTGAGGAGGCGGCGGGTAAACTGTCACATCCATGGCCCGATATACATCCGCTTCCTCCGCTGTTCTATTCTTCTGGTTGCTTTCTTCCTTTAGCAAAAAATTAAATAAAATAAAAATAAAAATAACCATAAACTAATGATCGTTTTGTTCTGTTCTTTGACAAAGTTGGGAGGTCCCTGAGCAACCGTAAGCAGAAACATCCACGAGAGTCTCCGGGAAGGCAACGTCACTCGCGGGGATTTGCGAGGTTTGGGGAAATAAAGGCGAAAAGGCGGCTTTATAGGATCCCGCAAGTTTTGGAACAAGGGCTTCTCTCCACGCCGGTTTTCATGCTCCAATGACTCCCCGAACTTTCAAGTCAACACGAGTCTTCGTTGACAATAAATCAATTGAAAACGTGAAACTATTTTTAACCGGGTTAACTCACTGTAAGACGCGTCTCCGCCTGTCTGCGTGACGGTCGCGGTATTTTGAGATGCGACTGTAACAGTTTGAATGCTGTGCTCTTGCTCTTGCTGCTGCTGCTGCTGGTGCGCGCTGCTTGGAGCTCCGCTACTTCGCCCGGCACTCATACAAAGAGAGCTCTAGCATCAAGCTAACGTGGGCTAGCCTAAACGGATGCGGAAAAGATTTTGTTTTTAACAAAATAAGAGCGAACGACACCATTTTGTTTGGACCAAAACAAGGGCAACTTTTCAGCACAGTTTCTCAGCAAACCTTTTGATCATCGATTCGTTCAAATAGATTCACAACCGATAGACTAACCGTGAATTAGACTGATCCCACAAAATAATGCAGGAAGAGTAGCGGTGGCAAGCTGTCGGAGCCTGCCAGGTCTAAATCCTCTCAAAAACCACATGTAGGTTTACAACATAAATTACTTTTGTTTCATGAAATTCAGTTCATTTATACCCGACACTTTTCTTTCTTTACTTGCAAATTTTTTTTGTTACTGGTCTATCAGCGGCCGCTTCTGACAGCACCACCTCACCTGCCACAAGACCTTCATTCATACAAAGTTTAGTCCCTGTACAGAGAAGACTATTGGTCATATTTTATCCTTCTGCTATGCATGTGTAAAGATGCTAACATCGTCAAGCCAAGATTTTATATTCATGCTCAGTTTTAATCAACACTCGCACAGCAGAATTTTGATCCCGCTATTGTGGATATCGGGTGAGTCTGGTCAGTGCACCGTACAGGATAGAATTTGTTCATCCATCTCCATGCTGCATATGCAGCTTTGTATTAAACCCCATTCAGTGTCAGCCATTTTCTGACCCTTATTTAACCTACCATGTGATTTTTTTTTAATCTACTGACATATACCTGGGATTTAATTCTTCAAACAAAAAAATGAAAAGACGTCCTTGGCATTGAATGAGTTGATGTGATTTAGACATAACATTATCATGTCAAGATACAAGAGACATCGACAGCAAAGTATGACAAAGGAATGGCCGGATGAATGAACGTGACGAAATGCTGAAACATCACTTGACTCCCCAAATGAGAGTAGAAAAGAAGAGAACATCCGTAAATGAGAACTACAGTGTGAAACAAAGCGAAACCGACGCCATTCACTCCGAGCTAACATGAACAGTGAGTGCCTGACACAGATGTGCACATCATCCTGACTCGTACACACACATTGCACAGCTAAACAGATGGTCAGATTTGCACATAGAATTACACATCTACTTCTCTCACACCGAGAATTATACTGCATTGTAACAGAGAGCTAGAGCTACATGACAAATCTATACAATATATGCACACACACACACACACACACACACACACACACACACACACACACACACACACACACACACACACGCACCCTCAGTAAATAGCAGCTCAGGGATCTTCGTGTGCCCATTTAAGGTATCATTAAAATGCATGCTCATAGATCTCTCTCTCTCTCTCTCTCTCTCTCTCTCTCTCTCTTCTCTATATCTATATATATATATATATATATATATATATGTTTTTCCCCCATCCATATTTTAATTCTCTTCTCCTCAGGCGTGTCACGGGCGGAGCCTATCCCAGCCATAATAATCGATGGGGCAGCGGCAGGGTTCGCCCCGAATTGGTTGCCAGCCAATCGCAGCGCACTCAGAGATGAACAACCATTCACACTGACACTTAGGCACAATTTGGAGGGTTCAACTAACCTGGCACGCATGTTTTCACTATGTTGCAGGAAACCTGAGCACCCGTAGAAACCCCACGCAGACACTGGGAGAACATGCAAACTCCGCACAGGAAGCCCGAAGCCGGAATTGAACCCTACACCTCTTCACTGTGCTAACCATTCGACCACCAGGCCACCATATATAATCTTTTATATATATATATATATATATATATATATATATATATATAGATAGATATACTGTATACACACACACACACACACACACACACACACACACACACAACAAACAGGAATACATATATGCATCCCTCCCCTCTGAAAAAGGCATAATTCACTTCCACATTCGCCACCCCCACGCCCGCCTCCCCACACACACACACACGCGCACGCACTTCCTCTGTATAAAATGCCACACACACTAAGGCACGTACACACAAAGCCAATCAAATGCACTAGTAGTACGTTTGAATTCTTGCGCGCGCACACATGCACACGCACGCTATAAACTCACGCACACTCAGTACTGCTGTAGTGCTTGTGCTGCACCTATGCTAATGCTTGTGGACGCACAAAAAGCAGGTTTCCTGCGAGTGAGAGCGCGCGCACACCGGCAAACACTCAACGCGCACCAGCTCTCACTCCGCCTCATATCGTTCTCAGATTTCAATGTATGAGCTTTCCCACATACCTGATGGGTTGAAAATGTAATGCACTGGAACATTTGAATGATGGGTGTCTACTCATGTTGGGGAATTACATTATAGATTCATAGCAGAGCAATCCACTCCGGGGTAAAAACACTCTGTCCTCCAGGAATAAAACAGCCCCAATGACAGAAGATTTAAGAAATGGCAGGAAAAAAATGGCTGGATCAAAAAAAGAAGCAATCGTCTTTCATTCCAAACACTTGAGAGTTTGTCCTCAAAGAAACATATATTTGGCAATGGCTTCGGAGATGCTTTGTCACCATCAAAAATGCATATTCTATTGCATATGACGACAATTATAAAAGCGGATAGACGAAGAGGAGAATAGCTGCATACGTTTTTCTACAGTGAAAGGTCGCAACATGGATTGTTTGATTGTTTCGGTGGTCGACTGGTTAGCACGTCCGCCTCACAAAGGTGCAAGTTTTGATTCCGGGCCCCGGCCTTGCTGTGTGGAGTTTGCACGTTCTCCCCGCGCCCGCGTAGGTTTTCTCCGGGTATTCCGATTTCCTCCCACATTGCCAAAACATGCATGGCTGGTGAATGCAAGGCTCCAAATTGTTCCTCAGTGTGAATGTGAGTGCATGTGAAAATTGTTGTTCCGACTGTGTGTGTGCCGTGCGATTGGTTGGCGACCAGTTAAGGGTGTGCCCCAAGTCAGGAATAGGCTTCAGCACGCCCGCCACCCTTGTCGTTCCGATATAATAATATTACGTACCACGACATCCGAATAGCTGTTTTTGGTGCAAGCCTGGAAAGATATCTTGACATGGGCCTGTCGCAATGACCAAATCTAAAAAGAAAAAAAAAATTGATATCATGATGGCCACCCAGTGAAGTCCAAACCCCCGTTGAGGATCAACTAACACGAACAATGGTGACCTCGGGTGTCAAACTCACTTTTATCACCGGCCACTTTGGAGTTCCGTCTTAGCTCGGAGGGCCGTTATGACCGTGAAACTACATCCATCCATTCCTTTTCAAATCCGCTTCTCCTTAGGAGGGTCGCGGGCGTGCCGAGCCTATCTCAGCTGTCTTCGGGGGCAGTAGGCGGGGGACACCCTGTACGCAGACAAACAACCATTTGCGCTCACATTCAACATCCAGAGACAACCTATCAGCATGTTTCTGGAATGTGGGGGGGAAACCGGAGTACCCGCAGAAAAGCCACACAGGCACGGGGAGAACGTGCAAACTCCCCACAGGACCCTGTGCCTCTGCACCGTGAGGCCGACGTGCTAACCGGTCGACCGCCGCATCGCCCGAGGAGTATTTAAAATGAGGTTATTTCTATATCACAGGTTTCACTTCAAGCAGGGATGCTGAGGAACATACGCCAGCGATGTTTTTCTTGTGTGTGTACAAGTCTCGGTTTGTGTGGTCTTGTTCCTCCATGCAGTCATCTACTTAAAAAAGCACTCGCTAAGGCAGGACACGACATTCCCTCCAACACATACCATACAGTATTTGAAACACATCTTTGTAGCGCCATCGATGTGCTGTGTAGCACTAATGCACCTTGGCCTTTCCCACATTGTCGCTACCATAGCAGTCCACCCCCGCACAATTCAATAATTGATGTGTTCCTTTAAAATAAAACCTTTCAGAGCTTCAAGCCTACGATACATATTTTAAGGTTCAGCCTTTTGTTTTTACTTCTACCTTGTCCGTGGCACTGGTTGAGCGGCTGCTTGGCCACGAGTCCCCTGTGCAGATTTGACTCTGAAACACATTTTCAGTGAAGAATTGTTGAGTTTGTTTGTAATCGCTGTCAAAACATTTTGTTGTCGGAGCGCCTCGATGTTGCATTTGACACAATTCATTTTTACGAAGTGGAAAATTTAGATACAAAATGAAATACATTTAGATATACAACACGTGGTATTATCTCCCGCTTCCTCTGTGTTGAAGTTGAAAATTATTATTTTGTTGATGCAAACGGGCTCATTGACCTTGCTCTTAACAAATTGCCAAACCGATTTCAAGACAAAAAAAATGTATGTTGATTCTATTCTCACAAGAACCAGCAAATGCATTTGATGTTCTTTATTGTGTTGTTATATAGCGGAGGTCGCCAACCTTTTTTGTGTCACGGACCAGTTGAGACAATTCCATACGGAATCACCCAGCCCTATTTCCAGTGCCCTTCGGAAGGTAATCGACGGAATGGCTGGTGGTGGAGGATGGTGATGTATTTGACTGACGTCCAGCAAATCCACAAACAAACAAAAAAAGAACGTGCTCTGTCCCCGGTTCTACATGGGTCGCTGACTGGTGGTTTGGGCCCCCTGTTATATAGTACAGGTACTCAATATGAATTCATTTGAAGATAAGTTTATAAATGGCAAGTAAAAAGCGTGAGCGGTGCCCCCCCCCCCTCCCCTCCACTCTTTTCTTTGATCTGACAGTCTCATACTCAGTGAATGGCAGTACCATTGAATCCATTTACACATTTTTAGCAGAGGGTTGATGCATCATTCAGGGCTATTTTTCCCTGCTGTCACAGTTTTACACCTAATCTCATCATTATTTCATATGGGGTTATTTATTATGCTTCTGTGATGCATGTACACGAGCACAATACAATAGATACTTAAAATGCTTTTCTTTGAAAAGAAAAATCAATGCGCACTTAAAAACAAGCAGGCACGTATTTATAATCAGCTGTGCTTCTGGGGTTTTTTCATGGCTGTTGGTCAGTCTGGATAAAAGGAAATAACTGATTTGACAAACCAATCATGCTGTGATAACATCTATGGTCAGGTAAGCCATCTTTGTATGCTGAGCTCGTGTCAATGGCAAGTATCCGAGAGCCTTGCACATCCGTACTAAATTTATAAACAAAAGAAAAAAAGAAGAAGAAAAAAAGAAATGTGTAATATGTCATGCTTTTTGGTGTTACTGTCACTTGCCCGTCAATGTTGAGGAACTCTGAAACACCCTTGTTTTTGTGATTTAAAACATGGTCTACCATTTCAAAACAATTGATAAAGAGACGAGAAGAAAATGGTTTGGGGAAGCTGCAGAACGGCTTAAAGTAACGGGAATTTTTGTTCGAGCTGCATCCAACATGTGACAACAATCTCCATTTTCTTCGCATTGGTGACTGTCGGAACGAGACCTGCTCAAACTCAGCAACATGCCAATTCCACACAAAAATGGTTTGATCCAAGATTTCATCTTAAATTCATGTTGGGAACTACCTCTGTGGAATATATATCTAAGCATCTCTTTCTCTGTGTGTGTGTGATTATTTATAGGGCATCACAAAGTATACGTATAAGTGCTGCAAATTGAATTGGTAGCCCAAATGTGTTACAGTCATTGGAAATGGATGTTTGTGTGTGTGTGTATGTTTGTGTGTGTGTGTGTGTACGTGCGTGTGTGTGTGTGTGTGTGTATGTGTGTGTGTGTGTGTGTGTGTGTGTGTGTGTGTGTGTGTGTGTGTGTGTGTGTGTGTGTGTGTGTGTGTGTGTGTGTGTGTGTGTGTGTGTGTGTGTGCACGATAGAGACAGAAAGAAAGAAGAGACAGCATTGCTGACAGCCTGTCAGTTTGCATTGACTACAGTGCGACAGTAAACTGTCCAGTGTTTTGACAAGTCGCTCCAGAGCCACGCATGCGCATTGTCTCGCAGCGTTCAAACGGACTTAGATTTCCTCAGGACTCTAATCCTTGACCCCGATATCAGCGTTAGGGCGAGTTGCGTTTCTTTTAGTCAGAAATAATCCAATGTTGTCGGTAAACAAGTGAGAGTGATTTATTGTTGTCGCTGTGACTGACAGCCGAAGCATGGTCTCTTCAGAAATGGACGGAATTGTTGAGGACGCGTTATAAAATTGTCAAAAGCCAGAGACCAAGTGCCAATTATTCATTCTTTTGCTTTTAATTACTCATCGTCTTTTACTCATTAACTTTAACCTCAATTCCAAATCGGGCATCTATGTCATGGGGAATCGCCATTTTCAAGGGATGAGCAGAAGATTATGACCACACGCAGAATCTAAAATGACGCAACACAAACGTTTGATTGGCACTGTTCAAAAGCTGAGCAGTGCTCTCTTTTCCGAGGCAGAATAGATTTTTGTGACAACTTTTGTATTGGACCTCATTCAATTGTTTTGTTGACAGTGCAGTAGAAGTGACACCCGTGAGGGTTTGGATAAACACCCCTGCTAGAGAGTGTGATGGAAAATACCCCAAGCCTCACGACCTCAAATAAAACACATGACAACATTTCAATTCTCATTCGGTCCATTTGCGACAGCTCCAACAAAACCGCACTTGGGCACAAATTATTTTCTTTCATTCTTCTGAAAAGTGCACATTGCGCCAACAATAAAATCAGGTGGGGCACAGCTATCAGAGTGAACAAATTCTCCTCAATTCTAAATACTTTACTTTTCATCCAGATGAAGTGTGGGAGTCAACTTGTAACAGCGTCAGTACTTCTAAAGTGCAAGCAGGGCAGCGGGAGGTGAACGCTAAAAGGCTTGGATTATTCAGATGTGTCTGCTGCAAAACGACAGTAGGCCTACGTGGAAAAAAAAAACGCAGTTGTGTACTTGACGCTCATTTTACAATGCTTCTTAAAAAACACATCCTGGATAGAGATGGGTGGAGTTTCCTTTCTTTTGGTATTTTGCTCGTCTTTTGGCCGGTAAAAATGGCTGCAATGAGTGCCTTTGCACCTTTGTACGCCATTGTGTGACGGAAAGTAGCCGAGATGGGTCGATGGATAGCTAAGTAGCTTGGTGGCTACGGCCTTCCTGTGTGGAGTTTGCATGTTCTCCCCGTTCCTGCGTAGGCTTTCTTCAGGTACTTTGGTTTTCCTCCCACATCCCCAAAAACACACGATAAATTGAGTGGACACTCTAATTGTCCATCAGCGGATGGTTGTTTGGCCATGTGCATCCTGCAACTGGCCGGCAAGCATTTGAGGGTGTCCCCCGCCGATTGCCCGAAGTCAGCCGGGATCGGCTCCGGCACGCCCGCCGCCCTTATGAGGAAATGCCGTTCGGACAACGGATGGATGGGTGGCTTTCGAGAACGAGAGAGAAAGAGAACATTAGAATGTGCAAAAACAACCCTGTGTAAACTGACCATTTGTCTTTCCTGTTTTTGTGCTTGTTTGTTTGTGTACTGAAATAATGGCACCAACACTGAGAAAAAAAAAAAGAGGGCCGATGACTTATAACAGGCAGACAGAGCGAGAAAGCGACAGACCGGAAGAAAGACAGACAGGGAGAAAAAAAGAGACAGACAGAGAGTCCAAACGAGAAGAAATGGAGCGCGGCACATCAATCATTAGGATGATTATTATGGCAGTTGGCATGGCAACAACGCCCCATCCCCCCGCTCCTCTCCTCTGCTATCGTTCTCTGTTTTTCTTTCCCGAATCAGTTCCAATGCACTTAAATGCCATGGTAGGCACAAAAAAAAAAAAAAATTTGAAGAGTGTCCATGAGCATGAGCAACAAAGAAACCAGGACAGCAATGGAAGCCTATCGCAGTAAAATCTGAGCGCCAAAACAAAAGCATTAGTCGTTTCATTATGTTAATTTCAGATGCCAGATGTTGGAGGTTCTGTAAATCCTGTTGTGATGATCATAGCCGGTCTGTTGAAGGAATTTATCAGCTGTAGGAGTGTATTACTGTGACAAGGTTACTGTTCTCTCGCAGCGTTCCTTGTTGGGGTTTTTTGTTTTTCTGCTGCTAACAGATGGTGGAAGGACCATGGACGAGAAGTACATCAGAAGCCCCAGCAGACGTGAAGTGAGAGCACGAGCAAGAGACAAAAAAAAAAAATCTTTCTGGTTTTATTATCGCCACTTGACATTTGGACCAAGCTGCAACAATTTGCCATTGAACCGAAACAGCATTCGTGAGATCCGACTTTGATACGCGGATTGTTGGTTGTTATCTCAAAAGCATCAAATTTACTCTTCAATTGCAGTGGAACCTTTAAGGTTGGAATACAATCTGGACTGATGCTCACTTTTACTCTGCTTTCATTTATTGTTGTATTGGTTTCTATCAAGAGATAATGGAAACGGACTTATCGTTGCCACCTTAAAACGGTTAGTAACGCTAGCGAACATTTTCAAATAAATAAGATAGAATAATTAAAGTTGGCCACTTCTATTTTTAAAATGTAAAAACAGCGTTGACCCCCGTTTATGGCTAAGGTTCCGTTTTGTTTTTGTTTTTTTTCTTTTGTGTGACCGATGCAAATCGGGTATAACCAGCACAATAAAACTGTATTGAGGCAGGTTAGACCAAGTGGTGGTCAAGCGGATCGCGCTACTGTGGGCTTGAACATACCTGCGGTCAACTTTGTCCGCCACCAATCAAAGCGGTTCCTTTGACGCTCATTAAATGTGGCCCACTCACATCTCACGTGGATGCAGCTCGGTGCGGGAAAGGACGTGGCGATTATGTGCGTGACCGGCACATTGTCACTACTCTTTGCCGGTGTGGCAACAGGTAACGGAAGCGGGATACCGTCATTAAATACAGAATGAGTTGGTGGTCATAACTGGTGACTGAGTGTGTGTCCCTCCCCCAATAGCTGTTTGCTAGCCAGTATAAGCTAGTAAAAAGATTAAAACAATAAAGCGAGATATAGGAGTAACTGTTCTTGTTTTAGTGTCTTGTAAAGGCACGCGGGAACAGCTCGATTCTCACGACAATTCGTACGCATAGGTAGCTTGATAGACAGACACAGCTAGCTAGCGAGCTAGATGGCTAGCTAGAGTTGAGTAATTAATTGAATGAGATCTAGCCATCTAGCTAGCTAGATAGATCTCATTCAATTAATTATTCAAGTCAATTCGATTATTTACTAGCTAGATGGCTAGCTAGCTAGCTAGATGGATAGATCTCATTCAATTAATTACTCAAGTCAGAAAAGCAGCACTGGCATAGTGCAGAAAGGAGTCAGGCACACCGTATCCGCAAATGACTAAATGATCACTTGCATTTGCATTCATCAGATAAAAGCTTTATTTGGATGTTGGAGCGAAATGAATGGCTGATGTTATTAGTCACAAGCAGCTGCAGGCTCGGTGTGATGGACCATGAGATGCAGGTGGGAGGGCGCTGACTCAAACCGAAATGTTCTGTGTACGCCGGACGCCATGTAATCAAAATGTCTTCACGGATGGCATTTAGCGAAGTTCGGGGTAAAATGTGTGCAATTCTGCCCTTCTTTCTCCTCCTGTGCCGAGCTATCTGTCTGCCTGTCTGTATTTTCTGGGTCTTTGCTCTGACACAATTACACTTCAGCTCCTATCAGCTCGCTGGATGCTCCGCTGCACCCCAGGAATGGATGGATGCACATATGCGCACACGCACTTTTAGTCGCAACTCGAATTCGTGTTTCGTCGCCATTGCAATTTCCAATGAGTGCAGTGCAGGAGCCGTGCTCTCTGCTCCAGAGCAGTTCCTAATATTGTTAAAATATACGTTTGACAGTTTGACTGCAGAAAAGACAAATTCTCCTTTACCTGGGCTACTGTCTGGACAGGTGCATGGAACTTTGATAGAATGGATGGTTTCCCACTCTGGAGGTTTGACTGGCGAATGGAACAACTGCGTTTTTGCTTCCCCTTCGGCTGTCATTTGCGACTGAGGTTAATAGAACCCGATAGCAGTACAGTAACTGTACATTTGCAAAAAGACACGGTCGGAAAACAAAGAAGCCAACGACTCTATATTCAAAGCACAAACAAAACAGAACAAGAGCGATCACGATGCATCTTGAAACACGCATTGTCGGCAGTCCAGCTCTGCGGAATTTGAACAGGAGAAAGGCTACACGTGCTGTATGAAATGACATTGGTGCAATGGCAATACGTGTGTGTTTTTGGAGCGGATGCAGAAGTGTATTTTCTTGTTGCTATTTGATCTCGCTTCTGTCATGCAGTTGCAAGGTGGCTCACGGTGGACGATATTTTAGTATTTCAGTTTCGTTGAAAAAGATATGAAACCGAGGCAAGGATATTTTCTCCATTGTGGTTATGATTCTTCTTTTTTTTTCCTCTCTCCACGCAGAAGAGCTTCGGGCTGTTCAGCACTTGCCTGCCTTTCACGTGATCACAGAGCTCCCTGCTGGCCATCAGCGATACTGTCACTCTCTGTGTGAACCCTGCGTTCATTTTTCCTACGAATGGTGAGTTGGGATTGACCTGACAGGGGGACGACTTCGGGTACTGGTCGCCAGTCGGTCGCAGCCACGCAGGGCACCGAGAGAGAGACAGCCGTTGTCACGCACATTCTCACCACTGTCAGTGACTGCGAACCGTGCGACACTTTGACCGAGCAACAGTCAAACCGAAAGCTCTGTTCAAGCTCAAGGCAAGGCAATTTATTTTGATCGCTCATTTCATACACAGGTAAATGAATTTGTCTGAATGTGCTTCACCTGATTACATTCAAAATATCTAAAAGCATTTAAACCAGAACTTTCACGCACCAAGCACAGAAATAAAAGATGGCTTGAAAATGAAGTTCCGTTCAAGAAAAAAATCACTAAAAAACGTTTTCAAGAGCTCGCAGAATAGTTTTTGTATCAATTGAAGTCTGAAAAAATAGAAGCTTCGCTCCAGCGAGCAGGAAATGGACTTTTGTACTTTCTGGCTATAAAACAATTCAAATTATCCTCGTGACGGAGGGCCGAAGGGCACTGCGGCTCTTTGTAGAGTGAATACTCGAACGTTGAGACAGACGCCATCCTCACAAGAACCATGGCCGGCCAAGTTGAGGACAGCCTCCAATGTCCGCTCTGCTTGGAGATCTTTCGAGATCCTGTCCTGCTTCTGTGCAGTCACAGCTTTTGTGGCGCGTGCGTGCGGCAGTGGTGGAAGGAGAAAGGAGATCTGTCGTGTCCGGTATGTCGGGCGGAGTTTGCCTTGATGGAGCCACCTATGAACTTGGCGCTGAAGAATGTGTGCGAGGTCTTTTCGCAAGCCTCGGTGGGCTCCCAGGACCTCTGCGGGACGCACGGGGAGAAACTGAGACTCTACTGTTTGGACCACGAGGAGTCGGTGTGCCTCGTCTGCAGAGATGCGAAAATCCACGCCGGCCACAAGTTTTGTCCCCTCGATGAAGCCGCGCAAGATCGCAGAGGCCAAGTCCAGGAAGCCCTGCTGGGCGTGAAGAAAACCTTGCAGCATTATATCAACCTGAGAGAGAACTACAACGAGCAAGCAGAGTACATCCAAGTCCAAAGGGAGCGGATTGAAAGAAAGATTCAGAAGGATTTTGAGGAGCTGCATGCCTCTCTGCAGTTGGAGGAGGAGGCCAGATTGTCTGCTTTGAGAGAGGACGAGCAGAAGAATAGTCGGATGTTGAAGGAGAAAATTAAGGCTCTCGGCCAAGACATCGCCACTCTCTCAGACATGATCGCAACCATGGAGCGGCAGTTGACCTCTGACTCCCTTTCCTTCATGAACAACTACCGGGGGACCATGGCCAGAATCCAGCAAGGGCCCGACAGGGCCCGGCTACCCAAAGGAGCTCTGCTGGACGAAGTCAAACACGTGGGAAACCTCAAGTTCAACGTGTGGGAACGAATGACGGACACGGTCCGCTTCAGTCCCCTCCTTCTGGACCCCAACATGGCCGGTCCGGAACTCGCGCTGTCTGAAGATCTGACCGCTGTGAGTTTTCAAGTCGGACAGTGCCGTCCAAAGAACCCGGAGCGGAATCAGAAGTCCCACAAAGTGGTGGCTTCTGTTTTGTTCCCAGCTTACAGCTGGGAAGTGGAGGTGGGAGACAACACCGATTGGGAAGTGGGGGTGCAGTGGAAGAGTTCTTTGCCTCCATATGAAATGCGGGTTATGGGCCTTCGATTTTGTGACGGCAAATACCAAATTCTGCCATCTAAAGCCTGGCACCCACTGGAGAAACTGGAGAGGATTTGCGTGTCCAAAGTATGCGGATTCTTTCTATTCTCCAACGCTCTTACACAAACCAAAATCCTTGTGCAGAGATTACTTGTTTTGGAGTTTGTGGAAGCATTTCCTTATTTCTCCACAAGGTGTGCAATTCCTCTGAAAATCCTCCCAATTCAACCTCAAGTTAAGACTGAAATCAAGTGATAATGGTCGCTCCCACAATTGTTTGAAATGGCAGGGGGGCGTCCCCATTCAGTAAAAGCTCATGAAAGATTGTAAAATCATTGAAGTCTGATTTGTCATTTTGCATGATTACTGTTTTGTTTTTTCTTTTGTTCTTTTTATTTTTCCTCCAACGGAGATTTTACATGCTCTGACCTGTTGGAGAGTAGACATTGTTTTGGAGCATGAAAGAAAAAAAATAATCTTCAGTTCACCTTTTTAGTGATCAGAGTTTTAGCGTCTTCTTTTTTTTTCCCCACATGCGATCTTTTTCAATGAACAGATGTTGTTGTGTGCATCTCGTCACCACCAGGTGTCAGACACCATTCATCCCAAAGAATTGAACTTTGCGCTTGGACCCGTGGACTGAGAAGTAACCACGTCATCAATGTACCGTAAATACATTTAAGAGAAAACGTGTTTGTGTGCGTGTCATTTATCAAGTTTCTTCAGTCCAAATGCAACGAGACCCTCACATTCAGCAGAGACGATCACACTTGACCGCAGGCCAGAAAGAAATCACTCACACCAAAAAGGAGATTGTTTCTTTGTGTTTGAGACGCCAGGCCATTATTGACTGCGGCAGGTTTTATTCTTGTCTATTTAATTGCCAGATGAGTCAGACTTGCTGAAACACTTTTGAGGAAATAATATTGCCCCGAATCAATACGCGAGTCCCCCAAAACAAATTGGGCAATTCTTGGAGCAAATAGTCATAACAAAAGTAAAAATGTCATCCAGACATGCGTCCCCTTCAACCTTCTGGAATGAATACATCCAGACTGTGCTTGACCAACAACATTTCTAGTTCTATTTCTGTGATAGTACCTCCGCGTGATCGTCTTTCAAAGAGTTTCATATACAGTGGCTGGACTTTGACCATTAAAAAAAAAAAAAAAATCACTCGGGCGCTTTGGCCAGCCATCTGAACATATCGCAGAAAGTGGGTGTGGGGGCAGTTAACATGCCAAGTGCAGAACCGCTCACTCACAGATACAAAGAGATCTGGGCCAAAGGAAAAAGCTTTATTCAACTCGATGCGTCGGCGTGAATTCAAATGACCCGCCGGTTTGTATGGCAACACGTCAAAAGTATGCGTTTCCTTCATATGTCCCCTAAGATGGCAAGGGGGTGACTCATTCATAGACATACATTCGTCATAGTTAGAAATATGAGCTGACTAACCCGAAACTGTACTACCCATCACACAGACATTTTCATATTATGAAGTTTTTTCAAATAATGAATCAAAACATAATCAAGCACGTTTTCATATGCAGATGAGCTGCCTAATTGCTATTCGCTTTAAGTGCGCCTATAATGACAAATAACAGGTCCGGGGGGGCTGAAACGGAAGAACCGGAGAACTTGTGACTTATTTTCTAACTTGGGCCTGGAGATCTGCCGTACGTATGGATGGAACCCATGGTCAAACTTCTTCAGCGCTCTCCTTCCCTCTGTTCTTCTTTACATTGCCTCTTTCTTCCCTGTTGTCGAGAAGAAAAAAAAAGCAGATCATCAAAATATGCATCAGACTTCAGGAAAGTGAAACCAGATGTGAGATGAGGCGTCGAAAGGGAGGGAACCCTGGAAAACATTTGTTGCTCCTTTGCTTCTGGCCGTTCAATTATAGTGACGGGATCTTTGACATGAAAGCCTGCTGCAGTAGATTAAAAGCTGACCGTATGGGAAACGGGTGGACGGTAAAAAAAGCTTCGGGGACGGGTATATTTCCGAGAAAAGTCCTCAGTCATCTGACATTTCTTAGGTTTTTCCTGCGTTCAAAATTGCATGGCGACCGCCTCCGGCTAATTTTGTGCAGCCCCCAGCCAGATCGATTGATCTCGCGAAACACAGCGTAAAGCTCCAGCGGTGCTGATTCTTGACCCTTTCCCACCGCGCGTGTGCTCGTGCCAGTTCTGGGCCAGTGCCCAGGTTAGCACCAGTTCTTTTTTTTTGACTCTAGCTCTAGCTCCGGTGCTTGAAACTAGCCCCGATTATTTGTTGGTTCCGGAAGACTCTGGCACCATCTAGGGCGGGAGGCGAGGTTGAGGAATGGCTCCCTGGACGCACAAAAGTTTTGCACAAACCAGAAGATGTGGCCAGATAGCATTCCATCTCCGACTCGCAGCCAAACTCGCGATCATCTACAAACGAACTCATTTTTGTGGCGGGCCACTTTGGAGTGACGTCTTCCCTCGGAGGGCCATTACGACAGTAAAATCGCATCCGTCAATCCATTGTCTGATCCGCTTTATCCTCACGAGGGTGGCGGGCGTGCCGGAGCCTCTCCCAGCCGTCTTCGGCTGCAGTTGGCGGGGTACACCCCGAACTGGTCGCCGACCAATCGCAGGGCACAAATACACGAACAATCCCAATCACACCCAAGGACAATTTCAAGTGTTCCGTTAGCCTGCCACTCATGTTTTGGGAACGTGGGAGTACCGGGAGAAAACCCACGCAGGCACAGGGACAATACGCAAACCCTCCACCTCTTTGCCCATTGTGCCGCGGTCCCTTAACTTGCACGGGTTGATCAAATGATTCCGAGCTCAATAAATGCTTTGGTTTCCCTTGCCGTGGCGAAGTAGCGTTTGAAAATTTGCCGTTCCCGAGCAATATTGCGTACGATATGTGAATTCGTGTTGTTATGAATGATGATCAAGATTTCTGCATGGAGCGCTGGCAAATGATGTTATACATGGGATCCATCCTTCGAGGAAAGCTATGACAGTCACCTGTAAAATAACAGCCTCTCTGCTTCACACATTCATTTTTAAGACGACTTGTCTGTCCCTGCCCCCCCCCCCAGCCCCCTCCAAAAAAAAAAGACCTCCCACTGAAACAAACTCTTAACTTCACAGGTGCATTTATCCCGGTGCAACCAGATGGGGGATCGGCTTACACCATCAACAACAGTCCTGTTTTCCTGCACTTTTCCCCCTTCCCTCACACTGTTTCCGTCTATTTTGGCATTTCTCCTTTACCTTGCAGCAGCTTAAAACCCCCTCCCCTCAGATTTCCCCTTGCCCTCTTCTCACACGAAACACTTTTTTGAAGCTTCATTTCCGTAGCACATTTCATACACAAGATGTGTTTCACACGAGCAAACTTGCAAAGCGTTGACAACCGGTTCATGACATTCAGAAGCAAAAGTAGCAGACCAAACGTAGTCAAAGCACGTGCAACATCAAACTTTCAAAACATGGAAGGCATTTTTAAGGGAAAGAAAGAAAGAAAACGGTTTCTAAACTCGCTCAAAGGGAAAAAAAAATCATATTTGAAACCTTATGGAAGACTTCATCAAAGGTTCAATTGCAATACATCGCACATGTGCCGATTCTAAGTTCATGAGCCCTAAGCAAGTAACTTTAGTGTTCTTGTCTACGATGTGTAAATAGCCCACTCTACGTTCCTGCCGCAGTGCTTCTGAGCTACTTCCCGGTCCGCATCTCTCCATCCTCCAAGGACCGTATGTAGGGCGAGTGCCAGATTAGGAAGTGAAGCGGGCTAGATCTTTTGGGACTCCACCCATTCTAATGTGGTTCCAAAGGGCCGGATTGTTCAGGGACCAGACCCCATCATTGATTCCATGCTGTGAATGTGATGTCGCAAAGGAACCTTTGACAAGCTCAAATACGGGTTACCTTTCAGGTTTGCCTCTTCTCCGTCCTATTTTTAGGAGTTGGCAGTGGAACAAGAGAATCATTGGAAAGCCGCCCGAACTGTCCGATCACTCAGTGGTTGGGTTGGACGGAAATTGTCCCCCAAAATCCCATCGTTGCCCTCTGGCAGCTCTGCGCCTTTGACGTGTGAGCGTAGCCTACGGAACTCTTCGATCTGCGCAGGGGAAGGAAAAAGGAAAAAAATGACATTTGTGGCCAGACTGAATTGTAGGTTGCAGCCTGAAGGAATAAAAGGTTGGGTCAGTGTGACATTTCAGCGTCGTGGGCAGATGCGGCGTAATGACTCTTTTTTGTTTTTTTTCCTTACACATTCATCTTTGCAACTTTGTATTAAATCTAAAACACGTCTTGAAACCAGGAATTGCCACTACTCGACAGAAGGAGAAAATGTCAACATTCCGGCCTCTGTGAGACAATAACACACTGTTTATTTGACTTCACAAAGACCAATGTGACCTTCCTCGCTCCAAATATTTGCAGTACACTTGAGATCTCCTCTGGCTGTTGTCGGTGCTAAGTGTTTATGTACCAAAGTAAGAGAAGCTGTGGGAAAATCAGAGGACCCCTGCAGACTGCAAAGAGCAAAACAACATCCCGATAATGGCACCTACCAAGAGACGCGCTTCCGAAGCACAGTTTAAAAAGTGAGCTAGCAGGTAGGCGGACGGCCACGGGAATCGAGCCGCCGCAAGAGAATATGAGATCAACGAATCCACATGATGCGACCGTGGCGCTTTTGTTTTATGACATGGCGCCATCTATCTATCCAACCAACCAATGGATGTACTGTAAGTTTCTCGCAATGTGTGACCCTTTCATCTTTCGCATACCCTCCTCCCTTTCTCAAAGAGCAAGAATGAAACGGATTGGTTTCGATGTGAAGAAGAAATGGAAGAATGTAGAATACATTTACCTGTAATTGCGATATTGTGAGAGGGTAGCGATAGAGGATCCAGATGACATTTTCATTACAAGGTGGCGTTGTCAGAGATCCTTGATACACCCAGTAGTCTCTCAGTAATGGATCTGAGGGCATATTTAAAAGTGACTATTCATGTCATGGTCTGAATAAAAGTCATTGTGTGTGTGTGTGTGTGTGTGTGTGTGTGTGTGTGTGTATGCGCACGTGTTCTAAATACAAGATATGTCATTCAGTATGAGATGATCCCACCCACCCCCACCCCAAATGTGGCTTTGTACATTTATCTTACCAGGCAACAAAGTGTTTGGGTTAAAGCAGGGAATTATCTTGCTCTTCCCCTAATGAGGGGAAAAAAACAACCCAAAAAAACAGCAAATTACAAATGATCATCTCCAAAAAAAGCTCAAAAAAGCTCATTTTAAAATCATAATCATAAACTATGCAAGTGTAGGTAAATGGTATTTCTGAGAATCATCAAAATGTATCTCGGAGATTTTGGAAAAGGGCTTTTTATTGTCGCTTTCTTGTGTCCAAAATGGCATCTGATCTGCTCCGAACCCACCTTGTACTGCAGGTCCTGCAGAACCTCTGTGATGGCTTTCAGACCCAGATGCTCTTTACCAACCTGTTGGCACAATTTCGATTTGCGAGGTCAACAGAGGCACACTGGATCTTTGGGACACGTGAATGACTGTAAAACGATTCGGGCTAATCACGAGTGAAAACATGTTCCCTTCCTTGGGTCAGCAAAACTCATACAATTGAAGGAAGGAAAAACATGACATTATAAAAGACCAGGGAAAACACGCCGAAACACATAGTTTGGTGTCAAAACTAAACTTCTCCGAAAATGTGCAGTGTGGAGATTCTGTTTTGAAGGACGTCCACCATTTGCTCACCTGCACGAAAAGAGCAACAATGAGAACTCCGTTCCTCTTGCCCAAAGCGTCCTCCAGAGAATTGAACAGTGTGCTGTTCCAGTGAATCAAATGGAGCTTCCAAAAGAAACAAGAGAACACAAGTCGAATTGGCTCAAGCTCGTTGTCATCAGCAGGTGTGCAGAGCAATCGTGGCCCAACGCGACGGGTGCCGTCAGCTGGCGATGACTGAAGACTCTTAAGCAAGATTATCCGGTCGGAGGAGAGGAGTTGTCAACATACCAAACAAAGTCGGGCTGCGTGCAACTTTTCTACTAAATGAAATCAATGGAGTGACGTGCTGCTCATTTACCTGACATGCGATGTCAAAATATGAAACCAAAGGCCGTAAAGTCAGTCGCAAGGTTTAGTTTGAGACTGTAACACGAGCACAAATCAAAACGGCCCCCGTATGTGGCGCATTTTTGCGTCTCTTGTTTTGTCACATTTCGCCCAGGAGGGAACTAAATGCAAACAAACTGACGAGACAGTTCATCAACAAAAACGCAATCATGAACTAAGTAACCCAAGCTTTAAAAGGTTGGATCGGATAGAATCAGAAAGCTGCATTTGGCGCGCCTCCTTTGAAATAGCCCGGTGGTTTCGTCGTTTCTCTCTTCCTCTTGCTCTTTAGCAGAAAGAGGGTTGTGGCCTTCTGCTCTGACAAAGTCAGCCGTTTCTCAGCCATGCCAGCTATTACCAGAAGGAATGTTTTTCTTTGAAGGAAGTTACAAATGCTGGTGCTGTCTGAACGACGAATACTAAAATTCAATAATTTCCCTGAAGTGCTCCTGATTTCCTGCGTGCGCGTGCGCGTGGGTGTGTATACCTCCATGGGGAAAGCCTTAAAGTTGACCGTGTGCTCTGATCCTCTCTGATTCTCTTTGCCCCAGTGAAATCGAACCTCATGAAGTTCATACTCATGATCGCTCGGTAATGGACCGCCGCTGACCACTGAACACAAGTCGAGGAAATTTGTGAGCAAACACGGTGCCGTGAAAAAGTAGTCGCTTCTTTCCTCATTTTCTGTGTTCTTTGCATATTGATCACAATACAAAGGTTTCAGTTCATCAAATCAATTTTAACATCGAAATGACCATTTCATTGTGCGGGGGGGGGGGGGATTCAAAGCTATCAGGTTCTACATCATGATACTTTTTCTCGGCACCGTACGCATTCAGAAAGAAAGCATTCCGGTAATTTCGATGTAGTGTCCGTGTGTGCACGCATACCTGACTTTGACTTGAGAAGGATGCGTACAGTGTGTCCATCATTCACGACCTCGCAATCACGACACACCACATAGTTTGATGACAGGCGGACATCCAGGAGGGAGGGGTCATATTGGGCCTCCCTGGAGTTCAAGTTGATGGGAGACTGACACTCCCCATTCGCCGCTGGGTAATGGAGCCCCCACTCTACACCTATGTGGAGCCAACGCATGCACAAAAAAACCAAAAGGCAACATGAATTCATTCGAGATGATCCGTAATCTTCTTATTGCTTGGACCATCATTTACCAGCAACTCGTCAAGCCCTTTTCGAAGCCTGGACAGATGAAATAAATACAGCACAAAAAGTTCGGAAAGTGTGTTGGGTCTTTTTCTCCCTTTGATATGTTGCCACATTAAGAAGAAACATGCCAATGCAGGATTAGCATCAGAATTGCGTGTATACTGTCGCCATGGGATTTTTTTCCCCCCGAGTGCAACTCACATACTACTCAGCCGAGTTGTTCATCCCACAAAATGCACGTGCCTTACTAATGCGGCAACATTTAATAGGAAAACAAAAATGATTTCCAACAGGATGAGACTTACTGCCAAGGAGCATTGTTTGAGCAAAAAAAAAAAGTGTACCGAACCAACATTTCCGAGCAATAGTAAAACCCTTGGCCTCCTAGCCTCTGTAAAACTTCACGTGAGCCTGAACACATTTGATTTTGAAAGGGTCCAGCTTTCCCGTGTCTTGCAGGACTGCCCCACGCGAGGCCTTTTGGCTGCAACCACAGCAGAGGCAGACACATTGAGTGAATGCGAAAAGTGAGGGGCGGGAAGAGAGGGGCATCGCATTCCCCCGTTCCTCAGCAACGAAGCTCTTGACAACTTATTCAGTGCTTGAACCATTTATTTATGCACATTGAAGAAGGCAGTAAGTTTTGTTTTTGGAATGTGGTAGGAAACCGGAGTACCCGGAGAAAAGCCACGCAGGCATGGGGAGAACATGCAAACTCCACACAGGAAGGCCAGAGCTGGCATCGAACTCGGTACCTCTGCACTGTGAGGTCAATGTGCTAACCACTCCTCAACCGGGCCGCCCAAAAAGGAAACATAAAATATCCACCCCCAAAAAAATGATGAAAACAAGATAATGGCAATAAACAAATAAATACTTTTTGAATGAAAAACAATGTCTAAAGTAGGCCAAAAACAATTAACTTCGGAAAAAAAATAATTGTCCCTTTTCAAATGCTACGTTTTTGGAATGTAAAAAAAAAAAGTAAGACAGTTCATGGTGAGTCATAACCAATTCAAATCAATAAAAATATTTTTTTAACGCTTGATGCGGGGATGTGAAAATACACAAAAGAGATCATGTGGTTGCAGAAGTGCGCACACCTGCTTAGAACTGAGCTGGAGTTGAGTTCAGAATGAACCGGTCGCACTCAAAGTCATGTGTTCTCGAGTTGGGTCTGGGGGCCGAGCTTGTTTGAAAAAAAAAAAAAGCAGTCAGTGTTAGCACAGCATTTTCATGCTTGTGCTCCAGGCTTGCTTCGCCTTTGGAAAATATTGCCATCTTCTTAGACAAACAGAGCCATCCACTTGCAATTGATTCAATGACCTCGGAATGAAATGACAGTACACGCAAGCATCTTCTTCTATCGAGCAAAAAATAAATGAAAAAAAGTCATGAAACGAGTACTGGAACAGCTGCACTTTATTTAAATGGTGGCCGGCGTGTGCCGACTCACATGGACTGAATGCGTTTGGTTGATTCTAAAAGCAACAGTCACGTCCTACTTCCAAAGCGGCGAGCCCACCTCTACAACCACAACCACATTATTTCAGATGTTCATTTTTACTTCCCCCTTTGGAAAATAAAAACAAGAATAAATTGAGTTGTACGTGTCACAGTGAGTGGTGGGAAAAGGTTTTGAAATGATTGGTCTCGGTTCCATTTTTTTGTACATCATATACAAACAAACACCTTTGACCCATTGGTGTTAAAGGGCTTAATCAGTAACGTGAAATAACAATATGATGATAGAATTGTGTCAATTTCTGAATATTCAAAATATACGCTAGTCTTCTAAAATTGTGTGTTCGTAAGAAATACCAACAAATATTGTAAAAAGTTGAAAGCGAGTCAACTTGGATTCATGGCACAACCATGCAAGTTATACTTTAAAAATGCGCCGGAAATAATGTGTTAATATTGGATCATGTGTTAGTAATGAATGGACAAATGATTATACTTACAGGGAGAGTTTTAACAGATTAAGCACACGGCATTATCCTCAGTAGAGGTTGCGGGCAAAGGGACAAAGTGAGGGGAAAAAAACAAACATATCATCAACGCAAACTGACAAACGCAGGATATTTTACAGCAGTGGTGTCCAAACTATGGCCCAGGGGCCATTTGCGACCCGCCATCCATTTTTCAGCGGCCCGCGACTTGATTGAAGAAAAACAACATTTAAACGACATTTGACATGAGCTGCAAGGTTAGTTAAAAAAGTTGAAGGCGGGTAGAGTGAGAAGGGAGGATGGACTGGAGAACTTTTTGCGATATTCGAAGATACAAAAAATTATTCAAAGAAGAGAATTGCTTTCATCCTTCCGTTTTTTTCCTTATGCGGCCCTCAAACAAAAAAGTTTGGACACCCCTGCTTGACAGTATCAGGCTGAATGAAAGTTGCTCAAGTAAGAGGAGAAAAAAAAGGTTGAAATGTTCATGCTCTGTAATAGAAAAATATAGTCTGGCGCTCTTATTAGCTTCTTCACACAATGGAGAACAGCCTACCTTCCTCGTAGCCCCAGTCCAGCTCATCTTTCCTTGGAGTGTTATTTGACTCCTCGTTCACTTTGTCAGCCATGCTGCTTGGCAGTCCGCTCACTCGGGATGCAAAACGGGTCAGTACTTTCAATTCACTCCGGCACACGCTGTTCACTTGGACGGAAAATTGAAGTCTCCGTTGCGCCGACAAGGATTCCCAGCTCGCTGCGTTACAGCCTACCCTGTCTTTATCTAAAATGTAATTGTTTTCTCTCTCGTGGTTTTTTTTTTTTTTTTTTTTTTTAAGTTCCTATATTCGGTTGTGGTGCCTGACCAAGTTTCTGCCTGAATGGATGTAGAGCTGTCGTTCTCTGCATTTTTCTTGACTCTGTACGCCCCCCCCCCGCCCTCCTCTGTGTTGCTCGACTGTCATCCCCCTCTCCCTTCCTCCGCTCTGTCTTTCTCTGCAGGTGCATGCACACACAATTTGGCTGTCCTCCAACAGATATTTCATTGCGTTCACAACTTGAGGTTTCTTTATGGAACTTTTAACAATACGATAAATCTCTGACACTGACTGTGTAACTATAAGAATAAGAATAAGAAAACCGTTATTTGTCTCACAAAGGAGAAATCCCCAAACTACTGTGTCTTTATGATATTGCTTATGTTTCTCTGCTCTGCTCTGTGTGTGTGTGTGTGTGTGTGTGTGTGTGTGTGTGTGTGTGTGTGTGTGTGTGTGTGTGTGTGTGTGTGTGTGTGTGTGTTGGGAAGCTGGTAGGAAGGCCATGCTGGTGTGTTTCTTTTGGAGGCCATGGAGAGACACTCCCTTGAGCGAAAACACAGAGGTGGTTGAGAAAACAAAACTGCCGGCAAAAGAAAGTACGAGGCCAAATTGTTGTTATTTATCTCATACGCCTTCATAATGGTCAGAACGGTTCACGATTTGCAAAGAAATTTCACTGAGCTATGAGAATCAAACAAGGCAACTTGGGAAAAGTAACTAACTCCTACCCACGGCCGGGTCTGGACAGCCATAAATCTTAAGGGGCGGAATTAATTGTGCTCCAGCACCTTTGACCCCATGTTAACTGACAAATTCACTCACTCGGATGCGGGATGCACCAAACAAGCGCCTTGTAAAGAACTGCGGTCTCCAATGCTTGGCACACTTATTTGATTGCGGTTACTGTCGCTAGACCAACTCTATATGAACTTGGGTTAGCGTTAGTCATATGTCCGAGCGGCCTCAACCCAAACTGATCGTGCTCTGTCAGGCCTCTAACCTAAGACCTTCCCAACTTGAGTGTCCCTATGAAGACTAGCTTCTGTTGGTATAGCCCAGAAGGTCACGGAGGCACCCAAACCTTCAGACCACGATAAGGTGGCAGTCCCTCAGAAGGATGTTTTTGTATTTTTTTTAATGGTACCCTTGGGAGGATGTTTTTATATTTTTTTGTGTTATTTTTTTGTATTTATTTTTATTTTATAATGCCCTTAAGATAATGTTTATGATTTTTATTTTATTTTTGAAAATATTTTTTAATGAAACTCAAGAAATAAAACAAAGGGTATTATCGCAGAAAAAAAACATACAAACAACTAAACAATTACTTAGGTCTACTGGATGAGACCATTAAGTATGTCAAAAACATGTCCAAATCAAAGAGCCAGGCATCCTGGTATCCTGTAATCAACTAAAAAATAGTAATAAGCAAGACAATAAGACAGTAAGAAGTGGAGCGGAGGAGAGTGATCATAAAAATATGTGAAATATAATATATTGTGGGGAATTTATTTTGGCGAGGGGGGGGGGGACATTTATTTGAGGGGGCTAGGCCCCCTCTAACCGCTGCCTAGACCCAGCCCTGTTCCTACCCCTGTTGTTCCAATCCTACAGTATATTTCATATGGGTTTTTTTTCTTTTCTTACTCCAAATCCTCCAGGACACTGACGTTAATTGCCCTAGATTCCTGATAAAGACATTGTCTTTGGCATGCTGGCAAAATCCCTCGTTTCCAACTTGTGGCTCTGAAAGCAGGACGTTCAGCCGACTAACTCTCTGCAATACACTGCTGATTTGACTAAAGTCGTGACATACATTTAGATAACATCCACCCATCCGTTTTGTTTTTTTTTAAATAAAATTCGTCCTCATTCGGGTCAAGTGTCAACTGTAGCCGATATATCCCACAAGTGATTTTGAGCGAGAGGTATAGGGCACACTTTGAACAAGTCGCTTTGTGCACTTGCGGCAAAGGGCCTTCCTCAAACTCTTCCTAGTTCCCAAAAAGATAAAAATATACAAATGTGCAAAATGTCTAGGTAAAATCAAAAACTAAGAATGGGGAACAAGGGGCGGTGTTGGGTTCTAGTCCAACTCCATCTATAATTTAGAAAGATTGACTTGCCTTTACAAGACCGCACCAATTTCCCCCCCATCTAAAACATGACACTTTACTCCTCCCTACAGGCAAAGATTAGTCACTACGCTTCATCTGAATCCGCATTTTATTTTTTTATTGTTTCCATGGATATATTTCATTGTTGTCATAAATATTGAAAAAAAAAGGTGATTTCAATTCCTCACGTAATTCTGATTTATGCACCACTCTTCTAAATGTTTTGGAATCTTCGTTAAATTTCCTTTCCAGCGATACCTGTTTTGCGAAGATTGTTGAACTAGTTCCTGGGGGTAGTGCTCCATGTACAGTGCAGTACTTTGTATGCAGCGATGGCTGTTTGAAAGTGCTCTATAAATACAGTTGAGTTGAGTTGAGAAAAGATTAGAGGAAAGCGACCACGCCCCTTTTGACGAAAACGGCAAGATTCGGCGGGCCGTAGCCCCCAAACTCTTCCTCGGATTGACCTAAAATTTAACATTTTTTGTTGTGACATCACAATCAACAACTTCAGCAAGTTTCAATAAAATCAAAATATGCTTGATTAAAAATTTCCGAACTTTGGCCTGAGTTGGCATGGAACATTTTCGTTTAGTCCTTGAACGAGTGTTCAATATCATGTTTGAAGTACGTGCAGCATTTTTGTATTTTATTGAGGTTCTCAAAAAATAAAGGTCTGCTGAAAAATTCAAGTTCTTAGGTTTGATATTAATATACCGGTTAAAAAATAGCCCTTTGAGAAACTCAACCTGTAGTTTACAGTACTGTATTGCAGTTTGAAACCATAAAAGTATTGTAGTTTCCGAGGACGCGTGAAGTACACATTGTGTAGCGTGGCGAGGGCGGGCCTAGTGACGTAGAGCTGAGGCTCTGGCTGTTTATTGTTCCTTCTTCAGCGCCGCCACAGAAAAAGGAGGCTAACACGCCGACAACCAGCTTTGCCACGCAGTTAAACAACGTGTGATTGTCTGGACAGCTGAGTGCTAAAATCGAGGACCATGGCATACGCTTACCTCTTCAAATATATCATCATCGGAGACACAGGTAGGCTGCAGCAAGCGAGACTCGTTGTTAGCATGCAGCTACTGGTTAGCATATTGCTAGCGGTCCATTTCCGCAGTGTTGGATGTCCAATGACGTGGTAAAAGCAGAGACGCAGAGGTGGGATGACAGTTCCCCTCCAATGTCTTACCGCCGCCGCGCAAGATTGTTTTTTGGGGGGGAAACAATCATGTTCGTCACATGTACATGTCATTTCAAACTATGTAAATTAAACAAATGTAGCGGTAGCTGTTTACATTCGCCTGCACAATGCGGGCCTCCGGTCCAATTGCGTCTGGGGTGGGGGTGGGGGGGGGTGTTAGCTCCAGCCAGCTAGCTCAGTGAACTGTCTAGCCAACGTTGGGAGTTGAACCAAATTACGCAAGCGACAATCAGCTCGGTAAACAACCACGAGTGACATTAGAAATGGAGTGTAATCGAAGCAGCAACGTCGTTGACACGGTTTCATAAACGAGAGGGAGCAGGAGGCCGGTTCGGAAAGCCAAGCCGAGCCAGTAATGTTCCCTGAAATGGCGTAGATCGCTTGTTATTCTTAGTCACGTTTACGGCGATTGAGTGCAAGCCTCTCTGTCCCGTGTATTTTCTTTTTTGAAGTGCTCTTTCCCCTCGCCGACGCCCGTGAGTGTGTACTACGCGGTTCAGCGATGATTTATGGTTTCATTTGGACAGTTGCCTCCCCCTCACGAGGGGCCCAGCCAGTTGACTTGCAAGTGTATCCTCTCCTGTCTCAAAATGTGGAGATACCAACATTACGTCAATAAAACTTGTTGCTTATTAGTTGAACGTCAATTCAAAGACCTAAAGATCAAACACACCCGCCAGGTATGAAGAACAGGTCAGACAACAGGACCTGGCATTGTTAATTTCGAAATTGTAGATAATCCTAAGAAAGAAGAGTTGTAACCGTTCGTGTCTGTAGAAGTGGTTTCATTGTTGGCCATTGTTAGTGTAGTAGAGGTGTCAAAATTAATCTATTTGTTGACAATTGATCATCCAATGATCAACAACTATTTTGCCAATCGATTAATTGTTTAGAGTCGTCGTTTATTTTAAGATTGTTCCGACTTCTCTCATTTGAGCCTTTCGAAGGTAAATATCCGATTCCTGTTATCCTCACGAAAGCAGACTGACTATCTTTGTGTTTCATCAAAATAAGACATTTGGACACATTTGCCATTGCCTTGGAAAATAATGTTGAACATTTTCCCCTCTTTTCTGATGGGATACGGACCAAACCAATAACTGAGTCATAATCAATTTATGGGGGGAAAAAGTAATACTCGGGTTAATCTATCACAAAAATAATCAACAGGGGGGTTTTCCTGGCTCAAATTGAGGTGGGGTGGCACCATCCTGACCATGCCCCATGATGTGCATTCGATAAATTCAACGGACTCTCTTTCTCTTACCGGAAATATACTTTCATTTAAGAGTTCCCGTGGGAATTCTTTTATTAAAACTTGCCCAGGAGAATGATGGGCTCATAGCTGGTGTGGTGGGGCCACTTTAGTTTGAGACACTCGTAGATTATTTTGAAGCAGCCTTCAAGCGCTCTGTGGTCCGTGTCCACCTGTGCTGCAATAGCACGCTGCAGTGTCCTCTGTAAAATAAGAACAATATTTCTTAAACTACCAATCTCAACTATATTATTTTAGTTTTTGTAACTTTATTGGTTGAGTGTTTTTTGGGACTATCATCTTGAATATACAGTACCTCTTCTTTTCTGCTGCTTTGCGAATGGCCGGCACCTCACGTCTTTTTAATGTGTCAAGCCTAGAATTGGTTGATGGCTGTCTCACAAGGGAGGCAGCCTGTGCCCGTTGTGATTTTAGGACCGTAATTCCGTAAATCCTCCTACCGGGAGTTGTGGACAGTAGTTAAAACTCGGATGTAGCCCGATGCTGTGATCTTCTTTAGACTTGAAACAAACGAAGCCTGATTGAACATCACCACTGTATGTGGGAGACAAGTAGTGCGCTCCATTTTATCTCAAGATGTGATCAGTTAGCAACAGTCCGTTTCCCCGCAGTCAATGGATTCGTTGACGAGCCATCAGTCGAGCGTGCTCTCAGTGAAATTATCGTCATCGAGTGGACTTAAAAGTGGCTCGCAAGCGATGTTGATATCTGTTTTCTCATCCGCTTGTCCTCAAAAGAGTCGCGGGTTCATACTAGCAGTGAAATTGTACATTATTGAATGACTGAAGGATGACAATTTTTTTTTTCGATTCTGCTCAAGAATTGGCTTGTATTCGTGCAATGTCGGTTTCTGTTCATTTTCTCCAACTTTTGATGATGACTCTCAAAATTTGACCCAAGTCAAACCTTCCCCCTTTTGGCAATTAGATGGAACAATTTTCAATGCATCGTCTTTACTAATTGTGATTCTCTCATTGCATGCATCTTTCCAGGCGTCGGAAAGTCATGTCTATTACTACAGTTCACAGACAAGAGGTTTCAGCCTGTTCACGACCTCACCATTGGTAAGGCAGTCTGTTTTCTACATATATTTATTTCCCAGTCAAGATAAGCGGTACAGAATAGGGATTGATGTGTGCGATCACCCTGACTTCAAATAGATTGAGCTTATGTGTTCATACTGATTTGTTGGCTATGAATATTTGAGTTTTAAAAGCCCACATTTTTCAAAATCTCTAAGGCTCAAGATAATGACCGCAGTCATCTACTACGTCCAATCTTCCGAGATTCAAACTTTTGTTCCTGAATACTTCAGCGGCAGTTCGCCAACACCACACATGAGAGCCATCGTTATTTCAAAAGAAAAAAAAAGAAAAACGGCACATTATTTCAAATTGACGCTGCAGAAAAGTGCACAAACTGTGTCCCAGAGCTCGTAAATAAATGATGAGTTATACTGTATATATGTCTATATTTTACACTGAATGTATCAAAAACCTTAGCTATAGCCATGGAGCAGCACCCCAAGCACATTCAGATGTATGCCCTACAACAGCAACCAAATGGGCCTTATTTCAAAACACAAACACTTGAAGCTTATTCATTAAATTATTGCCATATTTGTAGTGAGTGCAAGTTAAGTTTATTTACGCACCACATTTGCACGTTTGAACATAGCTTTAACTAAACAAAGACTATACAAAATATAACCTTGCACTGAATAAAAGCCATAACGCACGCACACAAGTGAAGAACAAAATGATTTCTTTGGATAGTTGTAAATGTTCAGTGCCTTATAAATGAAATGTATTGTTATTGTTGTTATTATCATTCCAATTTGGGCATTTTTGTCACACGGAGCAGTGCGCACGCGTTGGACGCAAAGACGAAGGGTCCAAATCTGTAGCGTGGATTGAATCAGCCCCGACCACGGGCCATTTACCTCTTTTATAATTTCTCAACTCACAAGTCCAGTTCGTCGTAATCCTCTTTACTACGTGGAGTACATACTCCATACTTGAACATGTTCCTTTTCTGCCCCCATCACTGCTCTCACGGGTATTTCTCTCTCTCTCCTTAAATGCAGGGGTAGAGTTTGGAGCGAGGATGATCACTATAGATGGCAAACAGATCAAACTGCAGATCTGGGACACGGTAAAGTACATCCTTTTTAATTCCATGGTCTGGGTTCACATTCATTATCACAATATTTTTACGCATTAGAAGCCAATTGTTTGTGATACTTTTTATTGAAAGAGGAAACACTCGATCAAGTGACGAGTTTGCAGGTTACACTTGGAACATGATGATGATGATTATTATTATTATTATTATTATTATTATTAATGGCGCAGACGCTCTTGGGAAAATGTCGTAACGTTTGGATGCTTTGTGATGATGTCATGACATCGCTCCTACTTGCCTCTTTGCCGGCGGAAAACCAAACGTGTTCCTCGTAAGGACTAGGTTCATCACCAACTAAGCACAGCATTGGCCCTATTAATCAAAACTACGCCCGATTATTGTAAACGCAGGATTTTGTTTAGATACATGGTGAATGAGGAGTTCAGGGCCAGAGTGCCTCAAATTAATTGACTTGGCTGCGCATCATGTAAAAAAATGGTGTGTGCACAATTTGACCAGCAGGTTGCGCCAAAACTCCATGACAAATATTGCACGGCTGGAAAAGAAAGACCGGAGGTGTCGAGCAGGAAGACGAGCGGTGACGTCAGTCGTAACGATGCCTGACAGCCTTCTGCGGGCTCACCCAAAGACAAGTTGAAACACGAGACCTGTACTCCGTGTGCTTTGTCATTCCAAGGAGAAAGCGTCTGCTTTTCGGATCTGAGCTAACGCCGTGAACTTAAAAGTCATTTGATGCTGGCAGTTTTTCTCCACTTGCCAGCCATTTTTGACCATTTTGACTCATTTTTGAAGGCCTACAGAAAATGGAGTTAATGCAGCTATACAAGCATATAGAAAAAGCTTTAACCCTCCTCTTTCATCAAGAAAAAAGTACATTACTACCTTTTTACCATTCTTTATTAAACAGCGGTTGAACATTACTATGTTTCTTGAAAATGCTTGTTTCCAAGAAAAAAAAATGAGAAAACAAGCTTTGTGTGAAAGGATGCATTTCAAGCAGAACTTTCACTTTGATGTTTTTTGGGAGGGGGGGCATTAGTGATACCTCAAATATCTAAACAATACTTTCTTGCTAAACCACAACATAAACAACACAAAAGGGGCACTTGGATTGCAAAATAACAGTTTCTTGCAAGAAAAACACTGCACTGATATATGAACTTTGCATGAACTTTTCATGAATCTTGAACTTTGTGTGATTTTGTGTGCTTGTCTGCATGGGTGTTTGTGTGCATGTTCATCAAGGATGACGAAGGGGGACTACGTCATTTTTTTTTGAGTTGAGAAAGCTTTGTTGGAGAGTTAGCTGTCAGTATTTATCTTTTTTGATTTATTTTTTTGCTTTTTGGAACAGCACTGTTGTAGCGTTAGCTGCCGGTATTTCTCCATGTTCTGCCGATCACGCTGTTTTCCGGACGCCATCTCGCGACATAGGATCGCCGTACCACAGCCCACAGCCACTCACCCTGTGTGTGGGCCAAGGTCTGATCAAAGCCAGTCCTGCCAGTGCTGATTTATCATGCTAAAATCATTCACACAGTCTCAATACTGACTGATTTGAAAAAAAAAACACCCAAAACATATGTATACGTTTTGGCACTCAATGATAGGGTTTGTGCAAACGTATTTTTACATTTTTGCATTGAATTAGTCCACAGCGTATTCAGCGGTGCTAACTTACCGACTGTTCCTCGAATGTCTGACTGACTGGCCTTTTACTTAGGTTGTCGACTTGTTAGATCTCAGACTCGGTCACCGAATGCTTCATCCACCACCAGACAAGCTGACAAAATCGGATGACTGGTCGAGTGATTCATCCGCAGCCTGCCTGTTGGGTTTAACAGCTGAGCTGTGCGCAGTGCCCGAACCGCAGCTGCTGGCACGGAGGGCATTTTGTTTGTGTCTGTGGCCCACATGAGACACAGGCAACATTGTGACTGTACATTGGATGGAGACGGGGCATGAATAGGCATGGCTCGGGATCTGCCGAGTGGAGTGATGACGGGACGTAGTTGGGGAGAGAATAATCAAGCGACGAGTGATGTCAGGAACAGACGGTGGAGGTGAGACAACGAAACAGGAATTATAGAAGAGGGTGTAAATGAACACAAATGACCTGGCGCCCCGTCCTTCAAATGTTGCATTAATACTAGTCTGTGGAAATGTCCTTATTGTTTATGTGTGGAGAGGCGGCAGTTTGGATGCACACTTGGAGAGATAGAATGACGGAACAAGTAAGAGAGGACTCCATTGTTACCCAGTTACAGATACCCCTCTGTCCTGTCTTCACCACAACTGGCCCAAAACCCTGGACCCGGAGCCTGCTTGGGGAACCGGGATTGGACGAACTACCCGCTTATGACACTCTAAATATTCCAAAAGCCTTGCATTGTAGTAGCGAATGGTCAGCCTGTCAGCCATATCAGTGCAGTTGCCTTTGTCTTCACCCGGTTTACTTACTCACAATTCAATTCTTCTCGATGAATACAGTAAATCCTCATTTTTCGTGGGTGATTGGTACACGCGGAAAGTGAAAAACCACAAATTAGGATTTGCGCCCTCTGGGATTTTTTTTTTTTTTTTTGGATTTGTATTTAATTTTTTAGGAGGGGGTTGGATTTCACGGCCATTTCACAGTATGTTAGCAACTTCTGTTGGTGAAGTTCTGAGACTCAAGGCAGTTGACAACAGACCAATTACAAGTCTTTACATGTCCGGAGGAAGCCGGATGAGAAGAGCCACTGTCCACGATGTTGTCGTCTGTCTGATCATTGATGTTATTGCAAGCAAGAAACATCACAGCTTGCAGCTTGTTTAAAATATGTAAACCGTATTTATACGTGACATGTTTGAGGCAAAGATTACAACAGAACACGTCTTTACTTGGATCTTTAAGTATAAAACCTCATACATTAATTAATATTCCTCAACATTTCCTTTTGAGAGAGGCCAAGAGGCTTGTGTTGGTGGCATTGAAGGCGGCTCTCACGGCCACAATATGGAGGCCGATATGGCTGTATTTTATTTATTTGTTTGTTTGTTTTATTTGAAAAACATTTTTTAGAAAAAGAATCATGAAACACCGACGTCCTAAAACTGTGTGTCTTCCTCTTTAGGCCGGCCAAGAGTCATTCCGGTCCATCACCAGGTCTTACTACAGAGGAGCAGCAGGAGCGCTGCTCGTTTATGACATCACAAGGTAAGAGCCAATCACCGACTTTGATCGGGTGTTTGTGTTATTAAGGCTCGCTACTTGTTGCAGAAGTCCCGGCCGGATTCACAAGGTTCAGTAGGATCACGGTTGCCAAGGAACCGTATACCGCGGCAGCGGAACCTTACAAATAATTCCCGACGGACCACCTTGCAATGTGTCGCGGTCCTTTGCCATCTGAAGCCAAGAAGAATCCTCCCAAAATGTTTTTGTCACGTCCTCTAGCTATATGCCCCAATCAGTCCCTTGATAAATTTTTCTTTTTTTAATAAACTGTAAGAATTATTTTAACATATTGTAAACAATATTTTTGCCTCCTTTTTTTTAGCTATTCTGTCTTATTTCTACCCCTTATTACAGTCCAAAATGGTGAATTTGCAAAAATGCTAGACTGTGAAAATGCGGGGGTCCGTGATAATGCTTCCAGAAAGCTTACGGGTGCTTAACATGCATAGTTGCGTACATCCCCTTTGAAAACCAAGCTTTTTATCCAGTTCTCAGTGACCACAACCATTTTTGGAACTTTGAAATTCTGCGGTTGAATTCTTGTGAAGTCCTTTTTTTCAGGCATCATCATTTTGCCACATTGAATGCCATCCACTCATTTTTGCCCCCTTAAATGAATTTGTTAAACTATGTTTTCTTTGTGGTAGTTATTTGAAACCAGTGGGGGGGTTCTAACAAATCTCTGGATGTACTCCTTTCCGTTGGCTACTGTAGCTCTAAATGTGTCATCTTCCGATCAATTCATGTTCCACTTTTTATTTCAGGAGGGACACCTTCAACCACTTGACGACCTGGTTAGAGGATGCGCGCCAACATTCCAACTCCAACATGGTCATTATGCTCATTGGCAACAAGAGGTTTGTTTTTGTTTTGCTCTGGCTTCGATTGCACTTTTGAAAGCGTGTTGCTCCGTGTCGTCGGCACGTTTGGTTCTAAAAGGGGTCGGTTGGACATGAAGGTCATGTAGATGACTTTGCACGCGGAGCTGGATTCTGGAGATTGCAGACATTTTTCAAATTGAAGGGCTTGCTTTCACAACACTTATTGGCTCAACGTGTACCTGAAGTGAAGTAATGTGATGTTTTGTAAGACCGATACGTGTCAAAAGAGAGCCTGTCGATGTCATTCCAGGCTGCAGCGTCGTGCTCTGCTTGATCTGCTTTCTCGTTGCATTCAATCAAACGAGGAAGTTGCAACAAAGCTCACTGAGCAAACGCCGCCTTGTGCGTATGTACCCGCTTGTGTCGCTCCATGTCCAAGTCAAACGCTCCGGGTCGCGGTTGTTGGATCGTGGACTCAAAATCAAAAGAAACGCGTTGTTTCCATTTGGGCTTGGATGAAGACATTGTGCACCCCGATGAGATGAGAGGGGCGCTGGAGTCTGCAGTCATTCCACTTGCAACTGTTGACTGAGTGGTTACTTCCTGATTTCTAATGACTTATTACACCATCGCATGTTTGTGCGTTTCAGTGACCTGGAGTCACGGAGAGAGGTGAAGAAAGAGGAAGGGGAAGCGTTTGCCAGAGAACACGGCCTCATATTTATGGAGACCTCAGCCAAGACCGCCTCAAATGTCGAGGAGGTAATGACACACACTCGCATGCAAGAAAATGTCCTTTAACTGATGAAGCAACCAAAATCTTTCGTGTCCAGAAGTGTGAAACTCATCTGCTTTACGCAATGCAAGCCAAGACCATTACTGACAATACCCCCCCCCCCCCAAAAAAAAAATCACAATGGACATTATTTGCGGTTTGACGGAGATCACTCTCCTGTTATAACGGGAATGGAGATGGTGAAAGATTCCATATTGTGCTCCTTGTCTTCTCAATTTTCTCGAATTTGTTTATTTATTGACATCCACCGCGGCACCGTTCTTTGACATCATATGCACAAGCATCGCTCTGTTTACTTAACCAGGTGGATTCTTGATTTGCCAGTCACACGTGAACTCTTGATTTCATGGCCCGTGTGAGAGTCGTCCCCCAGAATTCAGAATGATTTACGGTGACTTGACATTGTCTGTCAAGATGAGTGGCCGTCCTCTTCGACATGATGGCGCACGGTTAGCGCTCTGCTTTGCCTCGCGGACACGCCTCTGGTGTGGTGTGTCGTCAATACGCGGTGTTGTCTTCTGGGACCCTTTCCTCACTTATCCAATCGCATAAATAATCCCATCCTACACTCCATAGCATGCCAGCCCCAGGCTTGTGTGTGTGTGTGTGTGTGTGTGTGTGTGTGTGTGTGTGTGTGTGTGTGTGTGTGTTTACATTGATTTTTTTTTTCCTTCAACCCTATTTTCTCTCTCTCTCTCTCTCTCTCTCTCTCTCTCTCTCTCTCTCTCTCTCTCTCTCTCTCACCGTCAAGTAGGGGTCTGAGGGGTTAACATGAGAAGGAGGGTATGCGTGTGCGCTTGCGTGTGTGTGTGTGTGTGTGTGTGTGTGTGTGTGTGTGTGTGTGTGTGTGTTATGATTAATTTGTCTCATTAGTGTCCTCTGAATCCTCCTGATAGCGCTCCTCTTCTCGGCTCCCTTCATCTGCGCCGGCTCCATCCCTCCTCATCCTCCGACGTCCATCATTTCCTCTTTCTCCCCCTCCCCCTTGCTTCCTCAAGCTCCCTTCCTCGTCATCAAGCAATACCCCCCACGTGTCCTTCCTACCATTCATGCCTCGGTCTCCTCCTCCTCCTCCTCCTCCTCCTTTCTCCCTTGTTGCCATCAAGCCCTTTCTCCAGCAGTATATCAGCCAGTTGCGGTTCATACATATTCATAGCCGTCAACCCCGCCTCCTCTGCCCAACACCGAGCAGCCAATCGCTGTCGAGGGTTTGCTATGGGGCTCTGTGGGTGGACACCGGGTTGATGGAAGGAGACGTTTCTGGAAGCATCCTCTCCTCATCTTTTTATTCCCCCCTTCCTTATGCTCCTCCCTTTTGACATGGCCCAGTCCTCCTACGTCCTCCTCGAAACCTTTAGCCGCCTCACCTTTCTCTGCATCCGGTCCATCAATACGGCGCATCGGTATGAAAGTCATGGGAGTCGAGGCAAAGAAATGGGACGTGAAAGTGAACAGGAGTGCACCCAATGGACACCTTAGTCTATTTTTACCGAGTGCCAGATAGAAGTTCACGATCTAGATTGATAGTTCTCGCACTCAAGCCACCGCTGAGTGGAAGCGATGGCTCGTGTCTACTTTGAGGTCCCGTTGACGCTCTTTGTCGTTTGTTATTCCCCGATGTCTTCTGCTCCCATTTTCACTGGGGCCGAATAATGTTGGAAAATTGAAAAAGGAAATAAGTAGAAAAGCCTCCTCCGTATTGTGATTGTGATTTTATATGCGCTTCATTTTCCTCTTCTCCTGTTTGAAATGCTAAACAAATGCATTATTTGGGGAAATGAGAATACTTTTGCTTCCGGAAATCTACCGATGAAGAGTTTATTTTGTTGTGCCGTATTTGTTCATGAGCTTTTCACGACGATGTTTGTTGAGTCACTTATACGCAATTGTCCATCCGTCAATTTTCCTCAATCAACAAATGGAGCGAAATTAGTGCTGTGGTTTGTGTGTGAAAGCATTTTGTGCGGTGGGAAAAATGGCCGTTGCGACCGCTTCCTCTTTGTGACACGCCAAACACACGCCTGTCATGACGAGCCCTTAAAATGTATCAGTTTCAAAAACACTTCAATAAACGGGCAGGGCGTCGATGCGACACGCTACAGTTTAATCAAGTTCCTCGCTGCCCACATTGCGCGCACACTATTTCTTTCTTGTATTCCTGTGTGCGAGTCGGCAGGATTTGAAAGGCGTACAGTGCGGCTGCAGGCATGAGAAAGTTTGCGACGCGGAGGCCGATCATTTGATGGTGTCCGCCGTACCTCGAAAGTAACAAGGGACGGACTTTTTTTCACCAACCGGAGTTAATGTACAATTGGGAATTTGGAGCCGTTTTTCAACCGAATATCTTTGTAGGAAGTTAGAGAAGTTGGTCAAGTGTAAAAAAAATAAAAATAAAAAATTTCCACGTGAGTGCAAAGTGCTCCAATGTGAAACAACGGCGTAGATCCCGGCCGGCATTCAAGAACCTCTTGCGAACAAAGGGCTGAGTGAGCGATCTTGAATTATTCAGAGCGCACTGCAGCGAGGTTTGATTTCAAGCCTCTATCATTTGGACCTGGTTTTGAACAAGTGTATTTGTGGCCTCTCGTGTCTCCTGGACCACCCATATAAACCCCCTAAATCCAAGTTCTTTGTTTTACCACAATGTCTACTATTTGATTTTCACGTTGTCTTCGGTTTGGTCACTGCCCTTTTCCTTTTTCCTATGTGTGTGTGCGTATGTGTGCTCCGCTGCATCACGCAAGGTCCATGAATTGGCTGGTTGCATTTGATGCGGAGTAACTTGACTGACACGCTCAACGTTTTTTCTTTTTTTTTTTTTTCTGGAGTAACTTGACTGACCCGCTCAACGTTTTTTCTTTTTTTTTTCAATTTCGGTGCGGCATCATCAGCTCCAGGTTTGGAGTGAATCTCTTGTCTTCTGTCTCCATTTCAGGCTTTCATCAACACAGCCAAGGAGATTTATGAGAAGATCCAAGAGGGTGTTTTTGATATCAACAATGAGGTGAGACCCCCTGTAAATCCTTTCCTCTTTGTCCAAGGAGTTCTCGTTTCCGCCGTGGTGGTCTGCGTGCTCGTTTTCTTCACCTGCGAGGCAACTTCTCTCTTTTTGCCCATGCTAAAAGCAACTCCCTACCATCGGCTGCTCTCTTGTTCCACCTTTTCGGTTTTAGTCGCTTCATTCTTGAGATTCTCTCTCTCTCTCTGTCAGCAGTTTGCCAGCTCATAAATTCCTCACGCCCAACAAGGTCGCAATCGTTCACAAGAAAATAAGTATTCATCCAGTCAGCCAGCAGGCCGGTTCCTCGTCATCTAGTCAAACAGATGCTTATCTTTGTTGTGGAACAGTTGTCCAGACAGGAATGTTGGTACGTGTGATCAAGGGAGATCTGAAAACTGTGTGCAAAAATACCCTGGCAAGACTTTTCATGTTTGAAGAGGATAGGCGATAAAACGATGACTTGGTGTTCTCGGCGAAATGACTGCTCCTGCGTTTTGTTATGGGTTTACTTGCAATGGATATTTCTCTGTTGCTTGCCTGTGAACCCACGTCACGTCATGTCATAGTTGGACTGGAGCTAAAGCTTCCTAGTTCACGAAACAAAATGTCCTTTCCACACTGCTGCCTTTTAAGATGGTCCAATTCAGCCAACTCAGATGACCATAATATAACATGAGAATATTGAAGGAAGTCGGAAAAGTCAGCAGCATGGCTCTCGAGCAGTACTGTAGGTCAGTGGTCCCCGACCGCCGGTGCTCTGAGCGGCGTCAAATTCACACCGATGCGAATCTCTGCAGCTCGAGAACGAGTGCTCATTCCCTGGCAGTTGGCTCACGGGACTCTTTCCGTAAACTGTACTTGCCAAATATCCTCATGAACATGCCCGTAAATGTAGACAGAACGTGTTTTTATCGAAACACAAAATGTGTGCCAGTCTGCGTCCGTGTCCTCATATCCTTTACCGGCCAACCGGCAAGTCCAAGTGTTGCCGAGAGTGGTTTTGTTCACAACAGCTCGATGGAATGAAGGCAGGCCGGCCGGCCAAACCGCATCAGCTGACTGGCTCAGAGAGGGAGAGCCAGTGAGTGAGGGAAGCCCCACCAGAAATGTTGGCAGCCGCTATGAGAAAGCACTCGCGCACACACACACAGACACACACACGCTCACGCGGCCTTCACTCAATAAACGTGATTTAAAGGCATACAGTGTTTCCCAGAGGCACGACTGCTACCGAACGAACGTAGGAGGGTGAGTTACACTGGGAAGGAGAGAGATAAATATATACAGGAGGAGAGAGCGAGCCAGCCAGCCACACGAAGGCAAAGTCGGCACATTAACGGTAGGCGGAGTGGGGTGGGGGGCTTCAATTGAACAGATGAGAGCGAGACTTGAAAGAGCTGCATCTCTCGTCCGCTCGCCCGCCCGCCTCTCCCTCTCTCTCGCTCGCTCTCAAAGGTTGTCTTTTTATTCGTGCCATTCATTTCACGTGGTATCATTGAGAGCTTGTGTTTGCTCTTTCAGCACCTGTTGCTCCTTCTGTGCTGAGATCCAAGAGCAAACCCTGCAGTCACCGTGAAAGCAATGACACGCTTATTCGACAGGCAGGCTTCGTTTTTGTTTGGTTGGATGATGAGACGCTTTGTCGATGCTGGTGTTTTTGCTTCTATTTACTATGCTCACCTGGACACAACCAGTAACAGAAAACCCCACTAATACCCCTTTTCCAACCCCCAAAAAACGTTGTGCTCATTGGGCCCCCGGGGCCAGTGCTGTGGTTAATTGGTGATGAATAAGTCCTTAGGAAGAACACGTTGGGTTTTCCACTGGCAAAGAGCCAATTAGGAGCGACATCATGACGTCATCGTAAAGCGTCCAAACGTCACTGCTTACTTACCTCGACGTTTACCCAAGAGCGCCTGCACTATTCATAATAATAAGAAGAAGAAGAAGAATGCACTGTTAGCATCTGCTAGGCAACTTAGCCAAGCATCGATTAAACTTTTATGCGGTGTATAGCAGTCAGGGACGTGACTTTCTTCATCGTTGTAGATGGTGACGAGGCTGGCCGCCAGTCGGGAATGGGATGCTATCCGGGCAAATCCGCCATCGCTCTTCTGGTGGGACACAATTGTGTCACCGCTCAACAGTTTGTGCAGAACTTGCGTGTGTCCGGGGAGTGTCTGCGATGGTCATGATAACCCCGCCCCCTGACGTAGTTGCTGCCAGCGTCTTCTGGAACCAACAAATAATCTGGGCCAGCTGAAGCACCCAGTTTCAAGCGCCAATTTCGCTGGTAGAAAAAGAAAGGACTGGTGCTCACCCGGGCGCCGGCCCGCAATGAGCACCAGCGCAAGCGCGGTGGCAGAGGGCCAAGAGTGGTCTCATAGTTGGAGGCAATTGGTGATTTGGGGCGGGGATGGCAGTGCCCCATCAAATGGCGCTCTTCTCGTTACTACTTGGTTTTACTTTTTCAACCTGATACTGCAGGCAAGTCACTTTCTTAGCGTGTTCAATTGTTGGTCACAGCTCTGCCCAGCGGCGCTACACTGTGGGCCATAAGGGTCACCTTCCCCTTTTGCTTTCTGCAGTCTTCCCAACAATTTTGCAGACTGATGCTTTGTTGTTTTGTTTTGTTTTTTTTTATTTCCCCACGGATAATCATTCCAAATGTTGTGAACGTTTGTTGTGATGTTGTTTCCATTCTCACTGTCTCCATTCAGGCTAACGGTATTAAGATTGGACCCCAGCACCCTACCACCAACTCCACACTGCCCGGTAGCCAGGGAGGCCAACAGGCTGGAGGTGGCTGCTGCTGAAGGCCCCAAAACAGACCTCTTTGTCCTCCTCCTTCTACCCATGAGCCCTCTCCAACCCCTCCCCCCTTCCCCCTACCCCACTCCCACTTGCATTTCTGCAGAACTGTGCAGGCTTAGTAACAGTTTGTTAACCTGTCTCTCTCCATCCTGTCATCCATCTTTCCTTTTGTGTCCTCCTTGCTTTCCTTCTTACAGACCAATCTTCTTCTTCCTCTTTTTTTTCATACCATTGACTGTCATGGCAGCATCCCATGAGCTCAACCCTTTCAAGAACGGTGTCAGCTTTACCTCACTAAATTCTAAACTTCACATTTTCCTTGGGACGATGAATTGGTTTTAACGGTATTTGTTTTAAAATTGACACCAAGAGGATGATGATGA